ATGAGTAGCTGATGTGTGAGTAGCTGTAGGATGAGTAGCTGTAGGATGAGTAGCTGTAGGATAAGTAGCTGATGTGTGAGTAGCTGTACGATGAGTAGCTGATGTGTGAGTAGCTGTAGGATAAGAAGCTGATGTGTGAGTAGCTGATGTGTGAATACCTTGAGGTTTAATAGATGGAGTAGTTGGAGCGTGAGTCGTTATTGCATGAGCAGCTGATCGGTGTATATGTAGATGCCGAGGGAGTGTGGGTAATTGCTAGACGCGATTACACTGTGAGAGAAGCTGATATAAGGTTAGCTTGTGTCAAAATTAACTAACGTTTGAGTAGCGTATGTATGGGTAGGGGTTTGAGGAACTGTACAAGTGCGTTCGTACCCAGTATGTGGGTAACAGATTATTTTGGTGGATGTTGTGTAAGTAAACGCTACATAAGTCGCTGAACGATCTACGAGAAGGAAGAGCTACACTGTTGCCTTACATCCCTTTCTCTGGTTGCCCTATGTCCCTTCGTCGGGTTGCCTACAACCCACCTCCACAGCCCAGCCAGCCACTCACTCTCCAATTGCCTTACGACCCATTTTCCTGTTGCCTTGCATCACTCTCTCAGGTTGCCTTACAGCCAACCCGTCCCCCCACCAATCCACCCACCCTCCAGTTACCTTACGAGCCGTTCCCTGTTGCCTTATTTTCCTCTCTCAGGTTGCTCTACAACCCCCCTCCAGTTGCCCTATATCACTCTCTCGAGTTGCCATGTATCCCTCTCTCAGATTACCTTATATCCCTCTCTCTTGCTACCTTATATCCCTCTCTCAGGTTGCCCTACATCTCTCTCTCTCTCTCTCTCTCTCTCTCTCTCTCTCTCTCTCTCTCTCTCTCTCTCTCTCTCTCTCTCTCTCTCTCTCTCTCTCTCTCTCTCTCTCTCTCTCTCTCTCTCTCTCTCTTGATCTTGATCTTGATCTTGATTTGCCTTATAGCCTTATAGAGGAACATATCCTTGCAACCGTTTCTAACTTAATCACAACAATCCCTTTGCACGCTAATGACGAGTTCAGATGGACCCTAACCTAATTGTACTAACAGTGTGACGATTCCTGCTTAAGTCTGCACATCTCCACAGGGCTACCCAATTCCGAGGATTCTGCGCAGTTCAACGCTGCCTGTGATTCCATCACAGCATACAGGGAGCCTTGACTCCCTTAATCCGATTGAAAACAACAGCGCTGTAGTCTCCATCCAGCTTCTGGGGTGGAGAGAAGGCGGATGGTGTAGAGTGCCTGGTGCACGTTGTCTCAAATATACAGACAAAGTGCCCGTTAGATTGTTTTACGACGTTAAATAACTTAATACTTTACATTCATGAATCCTTAATTGTCTTGTTTTTCCTCGGTGCACTATTAAGGCAGGCAGTCGTTGTCTATGTAAACATGGCTGCTTCCTTGTACCAACAGTGAGTTGAATCTCAGAGTGAGTGAATACAGTTATATGCCAACATTCAAGTCATATATACAAAATGACAAGGCGTGCCTCGAGTACATACAGAACGAGTACATCCTCTACTCCAGCGCATGTGCCGGGAAACGGGAGGTAATTGTCTGGACCCTGATGACTATTAGAAACAAACACGCATTTTTACGAACTGACGGGTGCAAGGCGACTAACGGGATCGGGTGGTCAGGCTCGCTGGTTTGGTTGACACATGTCATCGGTTCCCAGTTGCGCAGGTCGATGCTCATGCTGTTGATCACTGGATTGTTTGGTCCAGACTCGATTATTTACAGACCGCCGCCATATAGCTGGAATATTGCTGAGTGCAGCATAAAACTAAACTCACTCACGAACTGACGGATATATGACGAACTGTCGTGGAGACTCGGGCAGTTACAGTAGGCGTAATTCGTGTGGCGAACTACGGTTATAACGAACTGAAATAGTGGTCCCTTTGTGTTCGTTGTAACCGTAGTTTACTATACTCTGCGTTCAGTTCGGTTATTAAGAATACACACTGGATTCATAACGGATAAGTCGGAATTGACAACCCGATATTGCTGGAATATTGCTAAAAGCGGCGTAAAACCATACTCACTCTCACTCACTGTAAAGCCTAACTGTAAAACGGCGTGGGGTACTCACTCAAGCATACTAGTATTCACGTCCCTATATTATTGCCACCCGTGAAGATACGGGTTAGAATTGGTCTTCAGCAATCCATGCTTGCCGTAAGAGGCGATAAACGGGATCGGGTGGTCAGGCTCACTGACTTGGTTGACACATGTCATCGGTTCCCAGTTGCGCAGGTCGATGCTCATGCTGTTGATCACTGGATTGTTTGGTCCAGACTCGATTATTTACAGACCGCCGCCATATAGCTGGAATATTGCTGAGTGCAGCGTAAAACTAAACTCACTCACGAACTGACGGATATATGACGAACTGTCGTGGAGACTCGGGCAGTTACAGTAGGCGTAATTCGTGTGGCGAACTACGGTTATAACGAACTGAAATAGTGGTCCCTTTGTGTTCGTTGTAACCGTAGTTTACTATACTCTGCGTTCAGTTCGGTTATTAAGAATACACACTGGATTCATAACGGATATTGCTGGAATATTGCTAAAAGCGGCGTAAAACCATACTCACTCACTCACTGTAAAGCCTAACTGTAAAACGGCGTGGGGTACTCACTCAAGCATACTAGTATTCACGTCCCTATATTATTGCCACCCGTGAAGATACGGGTTAGAATTGGTCTTCAGCAATCCATGCTTGCCGTAAGAGGCGATAAACGGGATCGGGTGGTCAGGCTCACTGACTTGGTTGACACATGTCATCGTATCACAGTTCGATGCTCATGATGTTGATCACTGGATTGTAGAGTCCAGACTCGATTATTTACAGTCCGCCGCCACATAGCTGGAATATTGCAGAGTGCGGCGTTAAACAAAAAAACAGCCAACGTTATTTTATTAGCAATAATCTCAAATTATTCAAAGTATTTTTTTGAGAAAGTCATATGTTACGTAAATTAGATTATTTGTCAATTTTACAGTTGTGTTCATTTGACATCTTAAGTTTTAACTACAATTGATCAAAAATTCTAGTATTTAACTTAATGCTATGAATTTATATACATACTCGATATTAGATAGCGTACCTATTACGCCTAATAGTGCTGGTATTAAAATGGGAACTTTTAATCATTGCATAACTGACGTCGAATTGACGAGTTTCTCAAATCTTCTAGCGCACAAATGACGACGAGTGTTGTTACCCGTTCTATCAACGATATGACGCTTCACACTTCCTAGTGTTACCATGTACGTATATATTGTCCTAAGGCCTCACCTGAAGACTAATCGCTGCACAGTGACACCTGGCGAAACCTAGTCTACTGCCGTAAAGACAAATGAGGGGTCGGGCTATATATAAGCTATATATGTCTCGGTGATAACGGGGGATGGTGTAATATAACTACACTATGACAATTATGGCTTCATATAACAATGCATCTTGTTAAAATTCGAATGAAATATCTCTTCCCAATTTTTAATGCACTGATATATATCACCCACGGTTGACACATATACCTAAAAAACCTTTGGGATCCCATTTGTCACGTATCCCAATGTCGAAATTGTCCTGTAAAAGCAACCACAGCCAGCGTGTAGTATTTTCATTTCCCAGGCTATGTTGATTCCATTCAGAGTATAAAAATCGTTGATTCAATCATAAATGTCAAATAATTAAATTAGAAAGAGTGATGAGTACATGTAACATCGAAAACAGCACGGTATATTCTGGTGCACGATGCCAAGCGTTCATTCATTGCTAAGTAGATATATTTCTTTCAAATTTTCTAAAAATACTGAGAATTTGGATTTAAACAAACAATTACCAAAACGTTACAATCCTGAAAAAGGCACCGAAATGTTGCAATTTTCTTTTACCAAACCGTTTCTGTTCTTAATGAGCGAGTTTCCTTATTCAGAGTCATTCAGTGTAAAATACTCTTCCCCTTTGCTTTGTTAAACTGATATATTTCTACAAAACTGCGCAAAAACACTGAGAAGTGGCATGTCACTTTATCGCCCGCGCATCTAAGCCTCTTACAATATATAGTACACTATTCTGGTTCTCTAAACAGTGAAATCAGCAGCATCAGAATGGCCTCTTGTTGAAAGACCTTTTGAAAAACGAGCTCCGCGTTGCTGAAGAATAGGAGCAACGCATAGTATTTCCTCGGTCTGTAGGTAAAGCTTGTCAGTGTGTAACAAATTGAACTTGAAATGTATATCACACTCACTTAAAATGCTATACACACCACCAAAACACCCCCAGCGATAATGACATTTGATTGACAGGTTTTGATGATAGATTACGTACGTGTAATAAGTTTGTCTGTTAGTGTACATTGTAAGTACAGCAGCAGATGTGATCTTTGCTATGTTGGTAGTGATTAGACATGACAAATGTATATTTTGTACAACCGTTGAAAGAAGAGTCGGTAAAGATAAATGGGTAGATTCACCAGCATGCGATACGGCTTGTTTAGAAAGCTGGCTTCCACAGGAGATATTTTTTACTGGGGTGGTTAGTCCATGTGACATGTTTTGTTTGTTTTTGTGTTTTGTTTGTGTGTGTGGGGTGGCAAATGGGTAGCCTTAAGCCTAATGGTTACAAGAGCAGTGGAGTAGCCTAGTGGTTAAAGCGTTCGCTCGTCACGCCGAAGACCCGGGTTCGATTCCCCACATGGCTAAAATGTGTGAAGCCCATTTTTGGTGTCCCCCTCCGTGATATGGCTGAAAGCGTGTAATACCATACTAACCTACTCAGTGTCGTTCGTGTGAAGGTCATCAACACCGCGTGTACATGTTCGAGTGACACCAATCACGTTGATGTTCATGTTCCCATCTAGTTTCCAAACCACACATGTTCCGTAATAAATGTGACACTGTGCAAGTACATGTTGAGCAAAATGAATGAAATTAGATATCGTTTTATTTCAGATGACAAATGGGACTGTGATCCAAAGTTTTTCAACTCTTTGGGCAGTCTTGTTTCCGAATGCTCCATCAAGTCAGCAGATGAAGGGGGTGACGATAGGGAGTTTGAAAGGGTAGCACAGGACACTGTTACCCTTTACAGGTAGGTTGGTTGGTTGGTTGTTTAACGCCGCACTCAGCAATATTCCAGCTGTATGGCGGCGGTCTGTAAATAATCAAGTCTGCACCAGACAATCAAGTGATCAACAGCATAAGCATCGATCTACGCAATTGCGATACAATGACACGTGTCAAATAACTGTCAACCAAGTCAGCGAACCTGACCACCCGTTAGTCGCCCCTTAAGACAGGCATGGGTTGCTGAAGATCAATTGTAACCCGGATCTTCACGGGTTTACAGGTAGGAATACTGTAACTGTAGCATGACAGTTCATAACATTCTCTCACAGTTTGTGTGAGCCACTCTTCATATCCACACTTGATATTGTTGAGCATTGATATTATGAGCATATAAGCATATTCACTAACAAACCCTACTGACTAATTTGGGACCAGAATTCACAATTTTACCCACAGAGTGATGTAAAAATCAGTGACATCACCAAACCACTGTGTTGGGTTGGCTTCTTTCTTTTTATTTGGTTGGGTTTTTAACATTTTTGTTTTGTTTCGTTTTTCTTGGCAAACGTTATCATATTACACATAAAAACAGCAAGAATGACAGATGTGTATTAATGTCCCTTTGTGAAATGCGTTAGACACTGGCTTGAGCCATGAAGTATCAGTAGCAGCTATAACCTGACATCGGGATATCTACCCCCGCAAAGCTTTACCTCATGTGTGCTCATCAGTGTACGTTAGGTTTCAGCCTTGTCTTTGCCGGAGAGATGTGTACCTCATTAACGAAACTAACCAAGCTGGCATTGACTGTACTGCAAATGTCAGATTTGCTATAGATACATGTAACACATCACACGGAGTTAGTTCAGTCATTTAAATACGACAGGCTAATATCTCTATTTTTTTCCTTCGGAAAATGCCATTCGTTTCTAATTCTAACGCGTATAGAAAATAATAAGATCAAATATACTCATGCCAATAATGGTTGTCACCCCCTTCAATTTTTTTAATTGGAGAGGGGGTGTGGGTTGGGGATGTGAGGTATGTATGGGGTTGGGGTGGGCAGGGGGTGACAACCATTATTGGCATGAGTATATATTGGACTGTTTTAATGAGTTTTCCATTTGGGCAGCAATATTGGGGGTGGGGATGGATATTTTGCATCTCTTTGTAGTTAAGCCACGTAGGCGTGTGTCAGACCAAAACATCATGCATGTGTGACACAGTTTAAAATGCCAGATGTTTTTTCTTGACATTGTTCTTCAATATACAAAAATAAATAATGCACAATAGTTATAGAACATCCGATTATTTACCTGACTCCAGTTCATCTGTCAAGTCGACTTTTCCGTATGACAATATAGCCATGTCAAGCTATGCAGTATATTTAAGACAGCTCAGTTGATTGTGTACGGAACTCACAACTTCATCCAGACGATTCCTGAAACTTTTATTGTAAAGAAATATATTTCTTGTACATAAATGTAATGTCCATGTCGCTTGTATATTTCAGAGTGACCGATGCTAGTGGCAAATTGGAAGTGAATGAAGTGGCATCCAAGCCGCTGAAACGAGAAGATCTGGACTCAAATGTAAGAACGAGCATTCAGGTGTCACTAGCAAATACGACGTGAATGTCACATCAAAATAATGAAGAGGTCCATGTGTCCCGGTCAATGTATGACCCCAGTATCCCCTGTGTGTAGCCCCTGCTGGTGGTAAGAGACCCTGTGTGTAGCCCCGGTCAATGTATTACCCCAGTATCCCCTGTGTATCCCCTGCTGGTGGTAAGAGACCCTGTGTGTAGCCCCTGTCAGTGTATGACCCCAGTATCCCCTGTGTATCCCCTGCTGGTGGTAAGAGACCCTGTGTGTAGCCCCTGTCAGTGTATGACCCCAGTATCCCCTGTGTATCCCCTGCTGGTGGTAAGAGACCCTGTGTGTAGCCCCTGTCAGTGTATGACCCCAGTATCCCCTGTGTGTATCCCTGCTGGTGGTAAGAGACCCTGTGTGTAGCCCCTGTCAGTGTATGACCCCAGTATCCCCTGTGTATCCCCTGCTGGTGGTAAGAGACCCTGTGTGTAGCCCCTGTCAGTGTATGACCCCAGTATCCCCTGTGTATCCCCTGCTGGTGGTAAGAGACCCTGTGTGTAGCCCCCTGTCAGTGTATGACCCCAGTATCCCCTGTGTATCCCCTGCTGGTGGTAAGAGACCCTGTGTGTAGCCCCTGTCAGTGTATGACCCCAGTATCCCCTGTGTATCCCCTGCTGGTGGTAAGAGACCCTGTGTGTAGCCCCTGTCAGTGTATGACCCCAGTATCCCTGTGTATCCCCCTACTGGTGGTAAGAGACCCTGTGTGTAGCCCCTGTCAGTGTATGACCCCAGTATCCCCTGTGTATCCCCTGCTGGTGGTAAGAGACCCTGTGTGTAGCCCCCTGTCAGTGTATGACCCCAGTATCCCTGTGTATCCCCTGCTGGTGGTAAGAGACCCTGTGTGTAGCCCCTGTCAGTGTATGACCCCAGTATCCCCTGTGTATCCCCTGCTGGTGGTAAGAGACCCCGTGTGTAGCCCTGTCAGTGTATGACCCCAGTATCCCCTGTGTATCCCCTGCTGGTGGTAAGAGACCCTGTGTGTAGCCCCTGTCAGTGTATGACCCCAGTATCCCCTGTGTATCCCCTGCTGGTGGTAAGAGACCCTGTGTGTAGCCCCTGTCAGTGTATGACCCCAGTATCCCCTGTGTATCCCCTGCTGGTGGTAAGAGACCCTGTGTGTAGCCCCTGTCAGTGTATGACCCCAGTATCCCCTGTGTATCCCCTGGTGGTGGTAGAGAGACCCTGTGTGTAGCCCCTGTCAATGTATGACCCCAGTATCCCCTGTGTATCCCCTGCTGGTGGTAAGAGACCCTGTGTGTAGCCCCTGTCAATGTATGACCCCAGTATCCCCTGCTGGTGGTAAGAGACCCTGTGTGTAGCCCCGGCCAATGTAAGTTCTGTAGTGTATCCCTGCTGGTGGTAAGAGACCCTGTGTGTAGCCCCTGTCAATGTATGTTCTGTGTATCCCCTGCTGGTGGTAAGAGACCCTGTGTGTAGCCCCCCCTGGTCAATGTAAGTTCTGTGTATCCCCTGCTTGGTGGTAAGAGACCCTGTGTGTAGTCCCCTGGTCAATGTATGAGTTCTGTGTATCCCCTGCTGGTGGTAAGAGACCCTGTGTGTAGCCCTGTCAATGTAAGTTCTGTGTATCCCCTGCTGGTGGTAAGAGACCCTGTGTGGAGTCCAGGTCAATGTAAGTTCTGTGTATCCCCTGTTGGTGGTAAGAGACCCTGTGTGTAGCCCCTGTCAATGTAAGTTCTGTGTATCCCCTGCTGGTGGTAAGAGACCCTGTGTGTAGTCCCGGTCAATGTAAGTTCTGTGTATCCCCTGCTGGTGGTAAGAGACCCTGTGTGTAGCCCCTGTCAATGTAAGTTCTGTGTATCCCCTGCTGGTGGTAAGAGACCCTGTGTGTAGCCCCTGTCAATGTATGACCCCAGTATCCCCTGCTGTGTAGCAAGAGACCCTGTGTGTATCCCCTGTGGTGGTAAGAGACCCTGTGTGGTAGCCCTGTGTGTAGCCCTGTCAATGTAAGTTCTGTGTATCCCCTGCTGGTGGTAAGAGACCCTGTGTGTAGCCCAATGTGTTCTGTGTATCAATGGTAAGAGACCCTGTGTGTAGAGACCCTGTCAATGTAAGTTCTGTGTATCCCCTGCTGGTGGTAAGAGACCCTGTGTGTAGCCCAGGTCAATGTAAGTTCTGTGTATCCCCTGCTGGTGGTAAGAGACCCTGTGTGTAGCCCCTGTCAATGTAAGTTCTGTGTATCCCCTGTTGGTGGTAAGAGACCCTGTGTGTGTAGCCCTGTCAATGTAAGTTCTGTGTATCCCCTGTGGTAAGAGACCCTGTGGTAAGAGACCCTGTGTGTAGCCCCTGTCAGTCCAATGTAAGTTCTGTGTATCCCCTGCTGGTGGTAAGTGACCCTGTGTGTAGCCCTGTCAATGTATGTCCCAATGGTGGTGGTTAGAGACCCTGTGTGTAGCCAGTCAATGTAAGTTCTGTGTATCCCCTGCTGGTGGTAAGAGACCCTGTGTGTAGCCCCTGTCAATGTAAGTTCTGTGTATCCCCTGCTGGTGGTAAGAGACCCTGTGTGTAGCCCTGTGTAGGTCAATGTAAGTTCTGTGTATCCCCTGTTGGTGGTAAGAGACCCTGTGTGTAGCCCCCTGTCAATGTATGACCCTGTGTGTCCCTGTCAATGCTGTATCCCCTGTTGTGGTAAGAGACCCTGTGTGTAGCCCTGTCAATGTAAGTTCTGTGTATCCCCTGCTGGTGGTAAGAGACCCTGTGTGTAGCCTCTGTCAATGTAAAGTTCTGTGTATCCCCTGCTGGTGGTAAGAGACCCTGTGTGTAGCCCCTGTCAATGTAAGTTCTGTGTATCCCTGTGGTGGTAGCCCTGTGTGTAGCCCCTGTCAATGTATGACCCCAATGTCCCCTGTGACCCCTGTGTGTATCCCTGTATGACCTGTGTTCCCCTGCTGGTGGTAAGAGACCCTGTGTGTAGCCCCTGTCAATGTATGACCCCTGTGTATCCCCTGGTGGTAAAGAGACCCAGTGGTAGCTCCCCGGTCAATGAGACCCTGTGTGTAGCCCCTGTCAATGTATGACCCCGGTATCCCCTGCTGGTTGTAAGAGACCCTGTGTGTAGCCCCTGTCACTGTATGACCCCAGTATCCCCTGCTGGTGGTAAGAGACCCTGTGTGTAGTCCCGGTCAATGTAAGTTCTGTGTATTCCCTGCTGGTGGTAAGAGACCCTGTGTGTAGCCCCGGTCAATGTAAGTTCTGTGTGTCCCCTGCTGATAGTAAGAGACCCTGTGTGTAGCCCCCGGTCAATGTAAGTTCTGTGTATCCCCTGCTGGTGGTAAGAGACCCTGTGTGTAGCCCCTGTCAATGTAAGTTCTGTGTATCCCCTGCTGGTGGTAAGAGACCCTGTGTGTAGCCCTGTCAATGTAAGTTCTGTGTATCCCCTGCTGGTGGTAAGAGACCCTGTGTGTAGCCCCTGTCAATGTAAGTTCTGTGTATCCCCTGCTGGTGGTAAGAGACCCTGTGTGTAGCCCCGGTCAATGTAAGTTCTGTGTATCCCCTGTTGGTGGTAGAGACCCTGTGTGTAGCCCCCCCCGTCAATGTAAGTTCTGTGTATCCCCTGCTGGTGGTAAGAGACCCTGTGTGTAGCCCCGGTCAATGTAAGTTCTGTGTATCCCCTGTTGGTGGTAAGAGACCCTGTGTGTAGCCCCGGTCAATGTAAGTTCTGTGTATCCCCTGCTGGTGGTAAGAGACCCTGTGTGTAGCCCCGGTCAATGTAAGTTCTGTGTATCCCTGCTGGTGGTAAGAGACCCTGTGTGTAGCCCCGGTCAATGTAAGTTCTGTGTATCCCCTGTTGGTGGTAAGAGACCCTGTGTGTAGCCCCTGTCAATGTAAGTTCTGTGTATCCCCTGCTGGTGGTAAGAGACCCTGTGTGTAGCCCAGTCAATGTAAGTTCTGTGTATCCCTGCTGGTGGTAAGAGACCCTGTGTGTAGCCCCTGGTCAATGTATGAGTTCTGTGTATCCCCTGCTGGTGGTAAGAGACCCTGTGTGTAGCCCCGGTCAATGTAAGTTCTGTGTATCCCCTGCTGGTGGTAAGAGACCCTGTGTGTAGCCCTGTCAATGTAAGTTCTGTGTATCCCCTGCTGGTGGTAAGAGACCCTGTGTGTAGCCCCGGTCAATGTAAGTTCTGTGTATCCCCTGCTGGTGGTAAGAGACCCTGTGTGTAGCCCCTGTCAATGTAAGTTCTGTGTATCCCCTGCTGGTGGTAAGAGACCCTGTGTGTAGCCCCTGTCAATGTAAGTTCTGTGTATCCCCTGCTGGTGGTAAGAGACCCTGTGTGTAGCCCTGTCAATGTATGACCTAGCCCATGTGTATCCCTGCTGGTGGTAAGAGACCCTGTGTGTAGTCCCCAGGTCAATGTAAGTTCTGTGTATCCCCTGCTGGTGGTAAGAGACCCTGTGTGTAGCCCCTGTCAATGTAAGTTCTGTGTATCCCCTGCTGGTGGTAAGAGACCCCTGTGTGTAGCCTGTGTGTAGCCCTGTGTGGTCAATGTAAGTTCTGTGTATCCCCTACTGGTGGTAAGAGACCCTGTGTGTAGCCCCTGGTCAATGTAAGTTCTGTGTATCCCCTGTTGGTGGTAAGAGACCCTGTGTGTAGCCCCAGTCAATGTAAGTTCTGTGTATCCCTGCTGGTGGTGGTAAGAGACCCTGTGTGTAGCCCCGGTCAATATAAGTTCTGTGTATCCCTTACTGGTAGTAAGAGACCCTGTGTGTAGCCCCGGTCAATGTAAGTTCTGTGTATCTCCTGCTGGTGGTAAGAGACCCTGTGTGTAGCCCCGGTCAATATAAGTTCTGTGTATCCCTTACTGGTAGTAAGAGACCCTGTGTGTAGCCCCGGTCAATGTAAGTTCTGTGTATCCCCTGCTGGTGGTAAGAGACCCTGTGTGTAGCCCCGGTCAATGTAAGTTCTGTGTATCCCCTGCTGGTGGTAAGAGACCCTGTGTGTAGCCCCGGTCAATGTAAGTTCTGTGTATTCCCTGCTGGTGGTAAGAGACCCTGTGTGTAGCCCCGGTCAATGTAAGTTCTGTGTATCCCCTGCTGGTGGTAAGAGAACCTGTGTGTAGCCCCTAGTCTGTCTCACAGTCCCTGAACCACCTTATTTTCCCTTCTGCCTAGCCCTCTCTGCAGTGCTAAAGCCCTAAAATACAGCAAGTTTAGATTTCCTCAGGTTCTGAATCTCATCTGAATTTAAATGGGCTTGTTTGCTACTATCAAAATTATATATGTTCAGAGGCTAAGCGTTAGTCTATGTAGCCCCGGTCAATGTAAGTTCTGAGTATCCCCTGTTTGTCGTTAAAGACCCTGTGTGGAGTCCAGATCAATGTAAGTAAGACCATCAACCACACACACGACTGTGTCCCTTTGTTTTTGTACTGTGACGTATATCCACTGGAACCATTTTACCACAATGTCGACGCTTATAACCTGTTGCAGTTATTGTTGCACTGAAGATATATATTTTACTACGAATGACATCTCATATTTATCACGTCAAGAATTTGCAACATATAGTTCCAAAATTGAAACATAATTATAATGTACCTTAAAAAAATATGGTACTTCACTTGTATTGGTTTAATAAATTGTATTAATTATGTGAATGTGATTTATAAATCAGCATGTTTAATTTAATAATTCAGAAGGTAGATACAGGCCGAGAGCACAAGGCAGGAGTTTCTCACATAGTGAGGGAATCGAACCTCACCACGATGAGTGAATGCTTAAACCACATGGTTATCGAAACACGCATATCGAGTTTCTAAAGATATACATAGTTAGCCACAAACCTTCCACTGCTTAAATAGCCCTATGAACTTAAATCTTAAACTGATACGTATGAACTAGTCATGAAAACAGGCAGATACAGATGATATATCGTGCACTCTTGAACCAGGGTAGCACCATTTGTGTGAGTGGTTTCCTGTGTCACCGCACGGGCGTTGGGAAGTGGGTGCGTCAGCCGTCACCGTCACAGCGGGGGCGCCCCCTATCAGCGTTGATGTCATACAACTCCCAACGCCGTCCTGTTGGCAGACAATGTGAACTTTACATGTCCACGTATCTGGGATATTTACATTAACGATACCGGGTGTATATTTTCTTCCAGAGTTTTAACACAATTTACGTCAAGTGACGTCACCTGATAAAGACAAAAGAGGGATTGCTTTGAATTTTATTTGATCGTGTGAAAGTGTATTTGTAAGATTAAAAGGCGCGTGTTTCAGCGATGTTCTGAAGTCTTAACTCTTGTATTCAAAAACAATAAGCGTCCTCTTCATTGGTGGCATTTAGAACACGCCTGTCGAATTCCGTGTGATATATTGTGGTACTGGGGAATTAGACCTTAATGTCATGGCTCGTGAAATGGGGGATATTTGTAACGCCAGACGTCTTGCCAAAGAGAAGGCAACTTCATTCGGAAGGCAGCATTCGGAAGAAACCTTTGAAACGTTTAGATAACCTCAATAATATTTTAGTCTATCCCAAGCTGTAAGTGATTACGTTATTTTTACTAGTCAGTTTTTGTAGGTTTGCGCGGTGATAAAGTATCACTGAATATTTGTTTGTTCGATATTTGTACTTTAGGAAACATATCCTCATACCAATTCCCACTTAAATACATCAAATTAAAGGTACAAGGTAAAACATTTCATATTATTTTAACACTTTTTGATAAAAATATAAGCGTTCATGCACTAGTGTTGGTATATTCGATGTGAAAACAAATCTTTGTATTACACTGGAGATGAAGTTGTGCGATAACTCGCTGCACCCAACAGGTTGCATGAGTTGAATACTCCCCAGGGAGTTGAGTTGGTTAAACGAATGCCAGAAAAAAGACACCCGTTGATCAAGGGAACACTCAAGCGCCTTGAGCATGTACTAGTTGCGTGGATATGTGCGTTTTATAAATATTCAATCATCATAAATAAGAAGAATCCTCGGTATAGTGACTGAGTTGGTCGTGTTTCATATGACACCGATGGCGCTGCTCATAATATTAATCATTGTTTTGAATCAAGTTTCAATTATCTATTTGTTGATATGATGAAGCAGGGGAGTTACTCAGTTAGATGTGAAATACCAAACAAACATCTTCAAACTGAAAACATACATCAACGACCGCCTCCCGGAGAGCGGATGGTCGCGGGTTCGATCCCCGACCGCGTCATACCAAAAAGACGTTAAAATATGGTACTTGTTGGCCCCTGTCTGGCGCTCGGCATTAATGGGTATAACAAGGACTGGTTGGCTTGGAGTCAGTATAATGTGTCTGAGTGGGGTATTCCTGCTTCACTGCGGCATGGTATCTCAGTGGGCTAGCACTATAAAACCAGCTTAAGTCTGGGCTAGTACAAGCAGCCGCACATACACATACACATGCATGCACGTCGTCATATGAGCGAAATATTCTCAAGCACGACGTACAACCCAATTTCACCTCACCTCACATACATCAACATGAACATACATACATGTTTTTTGACTGAATGGGTCAGTGTCATGCTATTCGACGTTTCTGACGTGCGATTTTGTGTAAACGATGCTTTAAGTTGCATGTACAAAATTAACACTAGACTCTCCTTGTCATTCACAAAACAATCTTGACAACAAATAACGGAACGTGTTATAAGAAAGACATTATTGGGTTGTTTTCTCCAAATTCGCCCAAAGCATTACGCCATCATACAGTCTCCCTTGTACACGGTATCAGTTGCAACAGGGCTCCTCTTGTCCTTCTTAACTGAAGAACGCTTTCATAACCACTGCCTTATCTTTCATACTAACAATAATCATCTTTCAGGACTGCTTCATATTGGACTCGGGGCCCAGCGGCATATATGTGTGGATCGGGAAGAAGTGTACTCGGAACGAAAAGAAGTCAGCATGGCAGAGAGCAACAGTAAGTCCTGAAGCCAGCTGAGTGAATGAGGTAGTGAGTGTGTGAGTGCGTACATGCGTGCGTTCGTGAGTGAGGTAGTGAGTGCGTACATGCATGCGTTCGTGAGTGAGGTAGTAAGGGTGTGAGTGCGTACATGCTTGCGTTCATGAGTGAGGTAGTGAGTGTGTGAGTGCGTACATGCGTGCGTTCGTGAGTGAGTGAGGTAGTGAGTGCGTACATGCGTGCGTTCGTGAGTGAATGAGGTAGAGAGTGTGTGAGCGCGTACATGCGTGCGTTCGTGAGTGAGGTAGTGAGGGCGTACATGCGTGCGTTCGTGAGTGAAGTAGTGAGTGTGTGAGTACGTACATGCGTGCGTTCGTGAGTGAGGCAGTGATTGTGTGAGCGCGTATATGCGTGCGTTCGTGAGTGAATGAGGTAGAGAGTGTGTGAGCGCGTACATGCGTGCGTTCGTGAGTGAGGTAGTGAGGGCGTACATGCGTGCGTTCGTGAGTGAGGTAGTGAGTGTGTGAGTACGTACATGCGTGTGATCGTGAGTGAGGCAGTGATTGTGTGAGCGCGTATATGCGTGCGTTCGTGAGTGAATGAGGTAGAGAGTGTGTGAGCGCGTACATACGTGCGTTCGTGAGTGAGGTAGTGAGGGCGTACATGCGAGCGTGAGTGAGTGAGGTAGTGATTGTGTGAGTACGTACATGCGTGCGTGAGTGAGTGTGAGAGCAAGTGAGCCTCTTTGAATAATATTCTAGCTTTATGAAAGTGGTGTCAACGTAAGCTGGGAGTGACGTTCATTGTGACGCGTGTTTCATCACGTTTACCGCTTTCGTGAAACCAACAAGCATGACAAACCTAGAAACATAATTGTGGCGCCCTTGGATTCGAACCTACAATCATAGCTTCCTGTCGTGTCCAAGGGACATCACCCTGAACAGCCACATGCCCACTAGCTCCAAATCCAACCAAATTCCACAACTTAACCAACGATATATTCAAACACACCTTGACCCCATCTCCCTCATGCGCAAACATAACGTTACTCCAGACGTAACGCCTCCATTGCTACGTTACGCGAGGCTTGCATTGAGATATCCAGGTAGTTTTGTTTACCTATTTCGCAAAGCCTTGAAGATGCGACCGAAAAAGTCCAACTATGCTTGCGTTAGCATTACCTGTTTTCTTACCTTTTCCACGGAATGCAGAAGAGGGAAACGTTGCAGGAAAAATAACTACGCTCCATTATCGACTTTTTGAGCTATAGGTTGTTAGAAATAGATAGATGAGATAAAGCGCGGGGTCGTATAGGTTCACCTTGCAGGTGCAGAATGCATCAACTCACCGTCTCTGTGGTGAACAAACATGCAGCCTTAGTACCTGGGCATTTTATGAATTAGAAGAAATGAAATAACTATTTATGGAGTGTTGAGAGTGGTAGCAGATTATACGTAGCACCACAGTTTGCTGGGGTCAAGATATGGAGTCTTTAAATACCTGTCAGATTTGATAACTACGCCGAGCTGGCCTCAGTTGCTGTTAGATGTATGAGCGCTGTTAGAGATTGGGACTAGCACTGTCGAAGTGTTTTCTGGAGTTGTATTTTTGGTCTCATTTTGTTGAAAGATTGCAGCGGCATTTGTTTATATGGAATGAGAATTTTTAAAAATGCTTAATGACGTCAATATTTCGTATAGATAAAGCGGCAAAAGTCTTTCCGAGGATACAAGAAATGTCTGCTAAAAGCAGTGTCGATACATCGTATCATGAGTATCTGTTGTTCATCCCTGGAGTATCAAATGCTGATCATACCAGGTGTCCGCGAAACGGTAAGCGTATACATGGTATAGTGGCCACGGGTTGCATACGTCTCAACCAACAGCAAAGGAAATTTAATTAGTTACCTGAAAAAAGCACGGGAACACGTCATACAAGTTACAATAGGGAATCGCCTCGGACATAAACCTCGTCACTGATGGCGATGAGGAAAGGATTAAAAGAAAACCTTTTAGATACAATACTTAATGTTGATAAGGGTACTTCTACTTTCGAAACTTTGGAGCCATTTTGGAGGTTTCTATGCTTAATTGACACTTTTTAATACAATAATTTAATCCAACTATGAGTGCCGATTTAAGGCGTTTCAGTCTGATTCTTATAGGTTCTACCAGCATACGTATGTGTTCTTCATCAATGATGGATTCCCAGAATGTCTGAGTTTGGAGAAGAATGGTTTTGAACTGTGTTCCTTGCGTAATGGACGCACTACAATCATCTCTAGGGTGAGGTGAGGTGAAATTGGGTTTAACGTCGTGCTTGAGAATATTTCGCTCATTTGACGACGCGCGTGCGTGTGTATGTGTATGTGCGGCTGCTTGTACTAGCCCAGACTGAAGCTGGTTTTATAGTGCTAACCCACTGAGATACCATGCCGCAGTGAAGCATGAATACCCCACTCAGACACATTATACTGACTCCGAGCCGACCAGTCCTTGTTGTACCCATTAATGCCGAGCGCCAGACAGGGACCAACAAGTACCATATGTTTACGTCTTTTGGTATGACACGGTCGGGGATCGAACCCACGACCTTCCGCTCTCCGGGCGGACGCCCTAACCACTACACGGAGGCGGTCTCATTCTCTAGGGAATTATATTTAAGTGATTCTAAGATTCATGGCAAAGATGGCTGACTCCCGTTGTTTATTTGTGTTTACAGGACTTTTTGAGTATGCGAGGGTACCCCGAGTGGACGTCCATTACCCAGGTGGTGGAGGGAGGGGAGACGCCGCTCTTCAAACAATACTTCTCCACCTGGATAACCCCTAACACCCAGAGGGGGGCTGGGGCAGGTGTACAAGACCAACAGAATTGCCAGTACGTTCTTTCGTTACGGCACACATTTTGGTAGTAGCAGCAGCAGTTGTAGTAGTGGCAGGCAGCGGTAGTAGTAGCTGTAGCAGTAGTAGAAGTAGTTGTACTATTAGTAGTTGTCGTTGAAGTAGTAACAGACCTAGTAGATGCAGCAGCAGTAGCAGTAACTGTAGCAGTAGTAGTAGCAGCAGTAGTAGTAGCAGCAGCAGTAGTAGTAGTAGCATTTCTAGTAGTAGCAGTAGCTGTAGTAGTAGCATCATCAGCAGTAGTAATAGTTGCTGTAGTAGTAGCAGTAGTAGTAGTTGTAGCAGCGGTAGTAGAAGTAGCAGCATTAGTAGTAGTTGTAGCAGCAGTAGTAGTGACAGTAGAAGTAGCAGCAGTAGTAGAAGTAGCTGCAGTAGTAGTAGTAGTAGCAGCAGCAGTAGTAGTAGTAGTAGTAGCAGCAGTAGTAGTAGCAGTAGCAGTAGTAGTAGTGGTAGTAGTAGTAGTAGTAGCAGTGAGTAGTGCAGTAGCAGCAGCAGTGAGTAGTAGTAGTAGTAGTAGTAGTTGCAGCAGTAGTAGTAGCAGTAGCAGTAGTAGTAGTAGCAGCAGTAGTAGTAGTAGTAGTAGTAGTAGCAGCAGTAGTAGTAGCAGTAGTAGCAGCAGTAGTAGTAGTAGTAGCAGCAGTAGTAGTAGTAGTAGTAGCAGCAGCAGCAGCAGTAGTAGTAGTAGTTGCAGCAGCAGCGGTAGCAATAGTTAGTAGTTCGCCGTTTGTTTTGAGTAGTGGTAGCAGAATACGAAGCAGCACTGATAGTAATAGTCGCATTGTGTCATTACTTCATTCACCACATCAACCAGATGATTCTTATATAATATAATAATGAGAATATTTATAACGCGCCTGTTTCTAGGCTAGATATCCCATGCTCAAAGCACAATTTTGAACAAACTCACTTGCCTGAGGTGAGACCACATGTATCATGTATGCTTTGTTGTGGGGCAGGACTGAAGTCCTAGAAACTCTCAGGAGTTAAGCTGCCAAACATGGTCACCCATCCAAGGACTTTCCGAGCCCATACTAACGTTGCTTAATTTCAACTGCTGTGACGTGAGCGCTATGGACAGGACCCCACGCCACCACACACGCCACCGTATTCCACCTGCAACACAATTGTTCTTAAACATTTAAACTTTTCTCCAGAATATAGCAATGAGAAATTTGATGTCACCGGACTGCATAAAAAGGCATCCAAAGCCAAGAAGGATTTCATCCCCGACAATGGTATGGGAATTAAACAGGTAATTCATGATTCAATACTTACTTCTTATTCCACCCCAACACTTATAAATGTTACATCATAGTGCAGAGAACAGAGTGGATGATCTTCCATTAACAAGAGCTCCACTACTATAAACGTCTTACATCATAAGTACTAAAGACACCTACTAATTTCATACCATTAACAAAATTTACTTTGATATCGGTGTGTGCACGGATTCATTAAAACACATGATCACCAAAAGATGATTTGCAAACTCAGCAGCAAAGAAGTAGAAGAGATTAAGCGACCTGTGAATCAGTTATTTTTCACTGTGAATATTTCCTATAGATCTGGAGGATAGAACAGAACGCCATGGTGATCCTGCCTGAAGAGATGCACGGGGTGTTCTACACCGGCGACTGTTACATCATCCTCTACACCTACAAGGTCGGCAACAGGGAGAGCTACATCATCTACTTCTGGCAGGTCAGTACGACAGCAGCGAAAGGACATCATACAGTTTGCGAAACGCCAAATAATAATCGGTCTCGATTATCCATCCTGCATGAAATGCGCAAAAGGGATGAAAATATATGAATGGACCCAAAACATTCGGTGATGTTCGCGAGAAGGAACAGCACCAACCAGCCACGCAACCCGCATAAAACGTGTTTTGACTGCCTAACACATTTCTACCAAGTGTCAAAATACTAGAGCATTACTTTCATACAAGTATGTATTCATGTATCGCAGATAGAATACAACAGTCTTCAGTCGTTCTGTAAATTGGATCGTTACCGTCCATATATAGATATAGACATGCCATTCGACACAAGCTTAAACACGCATATATATAACAAGCTGAATACATGGTCTACAATGTTACATTGCATGCAAAATGGTAACCGTTAAATATATCAAGCTCTAGAGATACAATCTTACATCAGGCATTGGTTACCGTACATTATAGTCAGACAAGGACTTCAGACAAGGACTGACTAAGACTTTTATACAAGGATATAAGGATATGAGACATATACAAATCTAGTTTTTAACCGTAGCTTTCGTCTACAGATATTGATCGTATACAACCCATGCTGGGTATAGTCACCGTGTTCATATCAATGACATACAGATAGAATAAGCCAGAAAGAGACACATCACTCACATTTAAGGAAGATGTAGAGTACCACTTCAGCCCCTTACGATCTGTCATTACAGGGCAGCAAGAGCACTATCGATGAGAGGGGAGGATCCGCCATTCTTGCTCAGAGACTGGACGACACTGATCTGAATGGCCGAGCTGTACAGGTAATGGTCAACGTCCACCTAGGGGTGTAATTCTACACGTATTGAAATCATTACAAAAACTCTGATACACTGACACCATGGGCAGTTAGGTTTGACCCGTGAAGATCCGGGTTAGAATTGATCTTCAGTAACCCATGCTTGTCGTAAGAGGCGACTAACGGGATCGGGTGGTCAGGCTCGCTGACTTGGTTGACACATGTAATCCTATCCCCATTGTGTTGATCACTGGATTGTCTGGTTCAGAATCAAATACTTACAGACCGGCACCATAAAGCTGGAAAATAGCTCTGTGCAGCGTTAAACAACAAACAAACAAACAGTTGGGTTTATACGTTCGCTTGCAGATGTTTCCGACAGTGAGTCATTGAATGCACACAAGTAGGTAACCCTTCACTTTAACCACCCGTATCTGTCGTAAAATAGACCCCCGAGCCAAAGAAACGTTCCGTGGTTTAAAAAGGCTGCAGATCTGATGTCCAAACATAAATATGATAAACGTCACCTCAGAAACACATCATTTTAGTCATCTTCAAACAATGGATCAAACATTCTTCTGCGCGGCATTGTAGACAATGCTCCTGTACTCAAGAACATATAAACAAGGGATAGAGCCACTTGCTATTTGCATATACGACTCAAAGCACTATCAGGAGCCGTTGATCGTGGTTTCGAATCTGTCATCACAAGAATATTATGCTTTGTTATGATTTCATCCGCTCTCGTGAGTGAGTTTTGACATCTTTGACATGCCTCACTTTGTACTCTCCTCCACACAATGGTACAGTAATTTCTCTCATACTGTTCGAAACGTAGTTAATATACATTTAATGGTTATTGCTTTTCAGATTCGTGTTGTACAAGGACAGGAGCCCGAGCACTTCTTGCGTCTGTTTAATGGGAAGATGATCATATTCCTCGTAAGTATCTGGATGTATGGAGATGTCATTCTAACGTCATCATTCCAAAGTTGAAAAATGCTGTTGGTGTGCACTAAACTATAAACAGATAAACTAAATAAGCAAGACAACGACATTAGAATCTATGTCGAAACGTCGCCTATACAGATTACGAAGTTGTATACATATGTATCCATAAAAAATTGTCCTCATTCTTCATCTTCCGAATTTCAAGAATGCCAATCAAAGAAGTCAGTTTTCCGATATTTTAATCAAATTCAAATCTCAAAAATGAGTATATTTACATATTTAGAGGATAAGGGTGGATGAGGATTTTATTGCCCACAGATCGGCATTTTTATAAACGAATTGAAATTTAAGAAATCATTCGAAGCGTGATAAGATATGTTCATATTGATGAGATAACTTTATTCATTCATACACTTGCCCCAGTCATAGTGAGTGAGTGAGTGAGTGTAGTTTTACGTCGCACTCAGCAATATTCCAGCTATATGGCGGCGGTCTGTAAGTAATCGAGTCTGGAACAGACAATCCAGTGATCAACATCATGAGCATCGATCTACGCAATTGTGATATGATGACATGTGTCAACCAAGTCAGCGAGCCTGATCACCTGATCCCGTTAGTCGCCTCTTACGACAAGCACGGGTTACTGAAGATCAATTGTAACCCGGATCTTCACGGGTGGCCCCCAACAGTTACAACAACTTCACATATGGTGTTATAAGAAGTGTTTGAGATGAGATAACCACTGTTGGAGATGTAATGGTGCACTGTGTTGAAGCTGCAGCAAGCCTGTTGTTGGAGCTGTTGGGTTCGTAGCCATCTCAGGCACACACAACATGAATCAGCTGTGTACGTGTTGATCTGAAGGCGATGTTTGTGTACAGGGTGGCATTAACAACGAAGTGCAAGAAGGCCCAGCCAAGGTGTATCACATTCGAGGAACTAACGAGTTCAACACACGAGCTATTCAGGTAACACCCAAAGACTTCTCATATAGAGTAACACTGGCGATATGTGCCACTCCTCCTCGTATTGATAGATAGGTGTATCTCCTCCTCGTATTGAAAACCACTGAGGATAGGTGTCTTTCTTCCTCGTATTGAAAACCACTGAGGATAGGTGTCTTTCTTCCTCGTATTGAATACCACTGGCGATAGGTGTCTTTCTTCCTCGTATTGAAAACCACTGACGATAGGTGTCTTTCTTCCTCGTATTGAAAACCACTGACGATAGGTGTCTTTCTTCCTCGTATTGAAAACCACTGAGGATAGGTGTCTTTCTTCCTCGTATTGAATACCACTGAGGATAGGTGTCTTTCTTCCTCGTATTGAATACCACTGAGGATAGGTGTCTTTCTTCCTCGTATTGAATACCACTGAGGATAGGTGTCTTTCTTCCTCGTATTGAATACCACTGACGATAGGTGTCTTTCTTCCTCGTATTGAAACCACTGACGATAGGTGTCTCTCTTCCTCGTATTGAATACCACTGGCGATAGGTGTCTTTCTTCCTCGTATTGAAAACCACAGACGATAGGTGTCTAATGAATACCACTGGCCATAGGCTCCTCCTCCTCGTGTTGAAAACCACTGACGATAGGCTCCTCCTCCTCGTATTGATGAATAGGTGTCTTTCTTCCTGTGAATACCACTGAGGATAGGTGTCTTTCTTCCTCGTATTGAAAACCACTGAGGATAGGTGTCTTTCTTCCTCGTATTGAAAACCACTGAGGATAGGTGTCTTTCTTCCCTCGTTGATTGAGATAGGTGTCTTTCTTCCACTGAATACCACTGACGATAGGTGTCTTTCTTCCTCGTATTGAATACCACTGAGGATAGGTGTCTTTCTTCCTCGTATTGAATACCACTGACGATAGGTGTCTTTCTATCCTCGTATTGAATACCACTGAGGATAGGTGTCTTTCTTCCTCGTATTGAATACCACTGACGATAGGTGTCTTTCTTCCTCGTATTGAAAACCACTGACGATAGGTGTCTCTCTTCCTCGTATTGAATACCACTGGCGATAGGTGTCTTTCTTCCTCGTATTGAAAACCACAGACGATAGGTGTCTCTCTTCCTCGTAATGAATACCACTGGCCATAGGCTCCACTCCTCCTCGTATTGAAAACCACTGACGATAGGCGCCACTCCTCCTCGTATTGATAGATAGGTGTCTTTCTTCCTCGTATTGAATACCACTGAGGATAGCTGTCTTTCTTCTTCCTCGTATTGAATACCACTGGCGATAGGTGTTTTCTTCCTCGTATTGAAACCACTGAGGATAGGTGTCTTTCTTCCTCGTATTGAATACCAGTGATAGGTGCCTTTCTTCCTCGTATTGAAAACCACTGACGATAGGCGCCACTTCTTCTCGTATTGAAAACCACTGACGATAGGTGTCTTTCTTCCTCGTATTGAAAACCACTGACGATATGCGCCCTCTCCTCCTCGTATTGAATACCACTGGCGATAGGTGTCTTTTTCTTCCTCGTATTGAAAACCACTGACGATAGGTGTCTCTCTTCCTCGTAATGAATACCACTGGCCATAGGCTCCATATTGAAACCACTGGCGATAGATGTCTTTCTTCCTCGTATTGAAAACCACTGACGATAGGTGTCTCTCTTCCTCGTAATGAATACCACTGGCCATAGGCTCCACTCCTCCTCGTATTGAAAACCACTGACGATAGGCGCCACTCCTCCTCGTATTGATAGATAGGTGTCTTTTCTCCTCCTCGTATTGAATACCACTGAGGATAGGTGTCTTTCTTCCTCGTATTGAATACCACTGGCGATAGGTGTCTTCCCTCGTATTGAAAACCACAGATAGGTGTCTCTCTTCCTCGTAATGAATACCACTGGCCATAGGCTCCACCTCCTCGTATTGAAAACCACTGACGATGAGCGCCACTTCTCCTCGTATTGATAGATAGGTGTCTTTCGAATACCACTGAGGGATTGTCTTTCTTCCTCGTATTGAAAACCACTGGAGGATAGGTGTCTTTCTTCCTCGTATTGAATACCACTGGCGATAGGTGTCTTTCTTCCTCGTATTGAAAACCACTGAGGATAGGTGTCTCTCTTCCTCGTAATGAATACCACTGGCCATAGGCTCCACTCCTCCTCGTATTGAAAACCACTGACGATAGGCGCCACTCCTCCTCGTATTGATAGATAGGTGTCTTTCTTCCTCGTATTGAATACCACTGAGGATAGGTGTCTTTCTTCCTCGTATTGAATACCACTGGCGATAGGTGTGTTTCTTCCTCGTATTGAAAACCACTGAGGATAGGTGTCTTTCTTCCTCGTATTGAATACCAGTGGCGATAGGTGCCTTTCTTCCTCGTATTGAAAACCACTGACGATAGGCGCCACTCCTCCTCGTATTGAAAACCACTGACGATAGGTGTCTTTCTTCCTCGTATTGAAAACCACTGACGATATGCGCCCCTCCTCCTCGTATTGAATACCACTGGCGATAGGTGTCTTTCTTCCTCGTATTGAAAACCACTGACGATAGGTGTCTCTCTTCCTCGTAATGAATACCACTGGCCATAGGCTCCACTCCTCCTCGTATTGAAAACCACTGGCGATAGGTGTCTTTCTTCCTCGTATTGAAAACCACTGACGATAGGTGTCTCTCTTCCTCGTAATGAATACCACTGGCCATAGGCTCCACTCCTCCTCGTATTGAAAACCACTGACGATATGCGCCCCTCCTCCTCGTATTGAATACCACTGGCGATAGGTGTCTTTCTTCCTCGTATTGAAAACCACTGACGATAGGTGTCTCTCTTCCTCGTAATGAATACCACTGGCCATAGGCTCCACTCCTCCTCGTATTGAAAACCACTGGCGATAGATGTCTTTCTTCCTCGTATTGAAAACCACTGACGATAGGTGTCTCTCTTCCTCGTAATGAATACCACTGGCCATAGGCTCCACTCCTCCTCGTATTGAAAACCACTTACGATAGGCGCCGCTCCTCCTCGTATTGATAGATAGGTGTCTTTCTTCCTCGTATTGAATACCACTGAGGATAGGTGTCTTTCTTCCTCGTATTGAATACCACTGGCGATAGGTGTGTTTCTTCCTCGTATTGAAAACCACAGACGATAGGTGTCTCTCTTCCTCGTAATGAATACCACTGGCCATAGGCTCCACTCCTCCTCGTATTGAAAACCACTGACGATAGGCGCTACTCCTCCTCGTATTGATAGATAGGTGTCTTTCTTCCTCTTATTGAATACCACTGAGGATAGGTGTCTTTCTTCCTCGTATTGAAAACCACTGAGGATAGGTGTCTTTCTTCCTCGTATTGAATACCACTGGCGATAGGTGTCTTTCTTCCTCGTATTGAAAACCACTGAGGATAGGTGTCTCTCTTCCTCGTAATGAATACCACTGGCCATAGGCTCCACTCCTCCTCGTATTGAAAACCACTGACGATAGGCGCCACTCCTCCTCGTATTGATAGATAGGTGTCTTTCTTCCTCGTATTGAATACCACTGAGGATAGGTGTCTTTCTTCCTCGTATTGAATACCACTGGCGATAGGTGTGTTTCTTCCTCGTATTGAAAACCACTGAGGATAGGTGTCTTTCTTCCTCGTATTGAATACCAGTGGCGATAGGTGCCTTTCTTCCTCGTATTGAAAACCACTGACGATAGGCGCCACCTCCTCGTATTGAAAACCACTGACGATAGGTGTTTCTTCCTCGTATTGAAAACCACTGACGATATGCGCCCCTCCTCCTCGTATTGAATACCACTGGCGATAGGTGTCTTTCTTCCTCGTATTGAAAACCACTGACGATAGGTGTCTCTCTTCCTCGTAATGAATACCACTGGCCATAGGCTCCACTCCTCCTCGTATTGAAAACCACTGGCGATAGGTGTCTTTCTTCCTCGTATTGAAAACCACTGACGATAGGTGTCTCTCTTCCTCGTAATGAATACCACTGGCCATAGGCTCCACTCCTCCTCGTATTGAAAACCACTTACGATAGGCGCCGCTCCTCCTCGTATTGATAGATAGGTGTCTTTCTTCCTCGTATTGAATACCACTGAGGATAGGTGTCTTTCTTCCTCGTATTGAATACCACTGGCGATAGGTGTGTTTCTTCCTCGTATTGAAAACCACTGAGGATAGGTGTCTTTCTTCCTCGTATTGAATACCAGTGGCGATAGGTGCTTTCTCTTCCTCGTATTGAAGACCACTGACGATAGGTGCCTCTCTTCCTCGTATTGAAAACCACTGACGATAGGTGTCTTTCTTCCTCGTATTGAAAACCACTGACGATATGCGCCCTCCTCCTCGTATTGAATACCACTGACGATAGGTGTCTTTCTTCCTCGTATTGAAACCACTGACGATAGGTGTCTCTTCCTCGTAATGAATACCACTGGCCATAGGCTCCACCTCCTCGTATTGAAAACCACTGGCGATAGGTGTCTTTCTTCCTCGTATTGAAAACCACTGACGATAGGTGTCTCTCTTCCTCGTAATGAATACCACTGGCCATAGGCTCCACTCCTCCTCGTATTGAAAACCACTTACGATAGGCGCCACTCCTCCTCGTATTGATAGATAGGTGTCTTTCTTCCTCGTATTGAATACCACTGAGGATAGGTGTCTTTCTTCCTCGTATTGAATACCACTGGCGATAGGTGTGTTTCTTCCTCGTATTGAAAACCACTGAAGATAGGTGTCTTTCTTCCTCGTATTGAATACCAGTGGCGATAGGTGCCTTTCTTCCTCGTATTGAAAACCACTGACGATAGGTGTCTCTCTTCCTCGTAATGAATACCACTGGCCATAGGCTCCACTCCTCCTCGTATTGAAAACCACTGACGATAGGTGTCTATCGTCCTCGTATTGAAAACCACTGACGATAGGTGTCTCTCGTCCTCGTATTGAAAACCACTGACGATAGGTGTCTCTCTTCCTCGTATAGAAAACCACTGGCGATAGGTGTCTTTCTTCCTCGTATTGAAAACCACTGACGATATGCGCCACTCCTCCTCGTATTGAAAACCACTGACGATAGGCGCCACTCCTCCTCGTATTGAAAACCACTGACGATAGGTGTCTCTCGTCCTCGTATTGAAAACCACTGACGATAGGTGTCTTTCTTCCTCGTATTGAAAACCACTGACGATATGCGCCCCTCCTCCTCGTATTGAAAACCACTGGCGATAGGTGTCTTTCTTCCTCGTATTGAAAACCACTGACGATAGGTGTCTCTCTTCCTCGTAATGAATACCACTGGCCATAGGCTCCACTCCTCGTATATTGAAAACCACTGACGATAGGCGCCCCTCCTCCTCGTATTGAATACCACTGACGATAGGTGTCTCTCGTCCTCGTATTGAAAACCACTGACGATAGGTGTCTCTCGTCCTCGTATTGAATACCACTGGCCATAGGCTCCACTCCTCCTCGTATTGAATACCACTGGCGATAGGTGTCTCTCGTCCTCGTATTGAATACCACTAAGGATAGGTGTCTCTCGTCCTCGTATTGAATACCACTGACGATAGTCTCCATTCCTCCTCGTATTGAATACCACTGACGATATGAGCCACCCCTCCTGATGTCGAATTCTACTGATGATAAGGTGATATTTTGAACTGTCATCAAATACCACTGAAGCTAAGATACCACTTTATCTTAATACTGAATGCAGATGCCGCTTTCTTCTTTTAATTATACCACTGAGAATAGGTGCTCCTTTCTCCTGAGTGAGTGAGTTGTGATTTACGTCGCTTTTGATAATGTTACATCAATATCACGGCGGGGGGACACCAGAAATGTGCTTCTCACATTGTACCCATGTGGGGGAATCGAACAAGGGTCTTCGGCGTGACGAGCGAACGCTTTAACCACTACCCCAACGCCCTGATAAACTTTGTAATTTTCTAAACGCACATACATGTATGACAGGTAAAGCCTTTAAGTCGTAAAGAGATTATATTTCTTGAAAGACACATATGCGCTTCTTTCTTTTCTTTACTATTTTTGTTTTGTTTTTTAGCGAAGTGGTATTTTTTCGCTCATGCTATTTTAACATGATTGTTCTGTAAGAACCTATAATTATTTAGTAATATATTTGGACAACTATTGTAGGTCCCAGCAAGAGCCGCCTCTTTGAACTCAAATGATGCGTTTGTGTTGGAGACTGAGCTACTTCTGTATCTCTGGATTGGAAAGGTCAGTATTTCGTGTGATTCGTGACGTCAGTACATACTGCACGCATCACACAGGGTCCTGGTAACAGTGTCTCGATCTGGAGTCGACCAGGCATAAGGTTGTGAAGGGGTCCCTGTTTCAACAACCCACACCAGTTAATAAGTGTGATGTTACATTTGCAACAAATCACAGTCTGTGACGGTCTCAGGGTAACGCCGCCATAAATACTTTCATTCATTTTACGACATAGCGTGACGCATGATGGTACATAAAAGTTGTTAACGGCCATGTTGTCGACACCCAGCACTAAACAGAATAGTGAAAGACACCTGAATACTGACTGAAGACAACTTTCTCGAAATCGACCTGATTATGTTATTAACGCTTAAGGGTCATTGGTGTTAACTTTTCGTATTCCCTGCCTTTAGATCTTTAAATGTTTTAGAACTAAAACTGTTTCATGCCTAATTTATATTCTGGACTGCATCCAAAGCATATGCCATATTCTGTGTTTACACTGGTGTCTCAAATTAGTTTTCAAAACCATTTAAAAAATGGAACAAAACTAGCTGTGCACTCAGTTCATGTGTTCCTGAATTGGCTGAGCAAATTGTCTGCTCCTATTCCGTAGTTTCTGCCCGGAGATATTTTTGATGTGTTCGTTCACCGGAAATGATAACTTGTGTGTCAAATTTAAGACGTGATGCGTAATAAGTTGCAGATGTTGGACTCGTTCTTGTATGTTAAGGAAACGACGTTATCCGAAAGACTCAAGCTGAACATACGCCATGTTTGTTGCAAAATATTTCAAATCATAGTAAAAACTTTTAAAACCTGTTCTGTTGCTGTCATTGCCTCGACACTTGTAGATATTGACCAGTTATAGATTTGTCTTCAAGACGACCATACTGAAAGGGAAGATGTGCTTCAGATGTCCACTGGGCACTAGGTTAGTCTGTCTCACGGTCACTGAACCATATTATTTTCCCTACAGCCTAGCCCTCCCTGCAATGCTAAAGCCCTAAATGAAGCAAGTCTAGATTTCGTCAGGTTCTGAATCTCTGGTCTCCATTCCCATTTTTAATTTAAATGGGTGTGTTTATTACAATCAAATTTATATATATTCAGAGACTAAGCGTTAGTCTAGGCTCTGGGGTACATTCACACCCCAATCACTCGATTGCTTGTCGCAAAAGTAGATAATATGGGTCAGGTGGACAGGGTTGATAGACGGCGTGCCAGAGTGTACCCTACCTGGCTTTTCCCGCAATAGCAGCAACTGATATTTCTGTAGCACAACCGGTAATTTGATATACCGCTGTATCGAACTTACGTTTGTCTCAAAACAAAAGCTTCCCTATTTAGTCATTTTGTGTGTGTCGAACCTCGCATAACTCGAAGTATTTTCGAACGTTCAACCTCGAGACAACAATTTTTGACTGCAGCGGGAACATCGCCGATTTTGGCAGCAGACAAGAAAATCTATATAATTATCAATGTCCGGAATGGTTTAATACTAAACAGGGCCAGTCTTTATTTACTATTATGTTAGTGTGGACTGTAGTCACCAGGTGTGGTGTTCCGTGTTTTCAATGTATCTTATATACTATTTTGTAATGAGTTGTTGGGATAAGGTTATCAATAAGCGAAGTGATATAAGATGTCGAGTGTAGCGGATGCCAATTTCCATTTATTCCAGGGAGCCAACGAGGAGGAGAGGACTGTTGCAAGACAACTCCTGGATTTTCTCTTCCCAAACAGGTAGCTAGGTGAACATTCCGTTCATGGACACATGTCCATCAATAGTGGTGCACCTCAAGAGCCGTGAGATCAACGAAACATTTATCACAGTCAACAGCTGTTATGCAAAGAACATTTACCACTGTCAACATCAGGTTTGCATGTAACATTTACCACTGGCAACACCAGGTTTGCATATAACATTTACCACTGGCAACATCAGGTTTGCATATAACATTTACCACTGTCAACATCAGGTTTGCATATAACATTTACCACTGGCAACACCAGGTTTGCATAGACATTTACCACTGTCAACATCAGGTTTGCATGTAACATTTACCACTGTCAACATCAGGTTTGCATGTAACATTTACCACTGGCAACACCAGGTTTGCATGTAACATTTACCACTTGCAACATCAGGTTTGCATGTAACATTTACCACTGGCAACATCAGGTTTGCATATAACATTTACCACTGTCAACATAACATTTACCACTGGCAACACCAGGTTTGCATAGCATTTACCACTAACAGGTTTGCATGTAACATTTACCACTGTCAACACCAGGTTTCCATGTAACATTTACCACTGTCGGGTTTGCATGTATCATTTACCACTGTCAACATCAGGTTTGCATGTAACGTTTACCACTGTCAACATCAGGTTTGCATGTAACATTTACCACTGTCAACATCAGGTTTGCATATAACATTTACCACTGTCAACATCAGGTTTGCATGTAACATTTACCACTGTCAACATCAGGTTTGCATATAACATTTACCACTGGCAACATCAGGTTTGCATGTAACATTTACCACTGTTAACATCAGGTTTGCATAGAACATTTACCACTGGCAACGTCAGGTTTGCATATTTTACCACTGGCAACATCAGGTTTGCATGTATCAATTACCACTGGCAACATCAGGTTTGCATGTAACATTTACCACTGGCAACATCAGGTTTGAATATAACATTTACCACTGTCAACATCAGGTTTGCATATAACATTTACCACTGTCAACATCAGGTTTGCATGTAACATTTACCACTGTCAACATCAGGTTTGCATATAACATTTACCACTGTCAACATCAGGTTTGCATATAACATTTACCACTGTCAACAGCAGGTTTGCATGTAACATTTACCACTGGCAACACCAGGTTTGCATGTAACATTTACCACTGGCAACATCAGGTTTGCATGTATCATTTACCACTGGCAACATCAGGTTTGCATATAACGTTTACCACTGTCAACATCAGGTTTGCATGTAACATTTACCACTGTCAACATCAGGTTTGCATATAACATTTACCACTGTCAACATCAGGTTTGCATGTAACATTTACCACTGTCAACATCAGGTTTGCATATAACATTTACCACTGGCAACATCAGGTTTGCATGTAACATTTACCACTGTTAACATCAGGTTTGCATAGAACATTTACCACTGGCAACGTCAGGTTTGCATGTATCATTTACCACTGGCAACATCAGGTTTGCATGTATCATTTACCACTGGCAACATCAGGTTTGCATGTAACATTTACCACTGGCAACATCAGGTTTGAATATAACATTTACCACTGGCAACATCAGGTTTGCATATAACATTTACCACTGGCAACATCAGGTTTGCATGTAACATTTACCACTGTCAACATCAGGTTTGCATATAACATTTACCACTGTCAACATCAGGTTTGCATATAACATTTACCACTGTCAACATCAGGTTTGCATATAACATTTACCACTGTCAACATCAGGTTTGCATGTAACATTTACCACTGGCAACATCAGGTTTGCATGTAACATTTACCACTGGCAACATCAGGTTTGCATAGAACATTTACCACTGGCAACGTCAGGTTTGCATGTATCATTTACCACTGGCAACACCAGGTTTGCATGTAACATTTACCACTGGCAACATCAGGTTTGAATATAACATTTACCACTGTCAACATCAGGTTTGCATATAACATTTACCACTGGCAACATCAGGTTTGCATGTAACATTTACCACTGGCAACATCAGGTTTGCATATAACATTTACCACTGTCAACATCAGGTTTGCATATAACATTTACCACTGTCAACATCAGGTTTGCATATAACATTTACCACTGTCAACATCAGGTTTGCATGTATCATTTACCACTGGCAACATCAGGTTTGCATGTAACATTTACCACTGGCAACATCAGGTTTGCATATAACATTTACCACTGTCAACATCAGGTTTGCATGTAACATTTACCACTGTCAACATCAGGTTTGCATATAACATTTACCACTGTCAACATCAGGTTTGCATGTAACATTTACCACTGGCAACATCAGGTTTGAATATAACATTTACCACTGTCAACATCAGGTTTGCATGTATCATTTACCACTGGCAACATCAGGTTTGCATGTAACATTTACCACTGGCAACATCAGGTTTGAATATAACATTTACCACTGGCAACATCAGGTTTGCATGTATCATTTACCACTGGCAACATCAGGTTTGCATGTAACATTTACCACTGTCAACACCAGGTTTGCATGTAACATTTACCACTGGCAACATCAGGTTTGCATGTAACATTTACCACTGTCAACACCAGGTTTGCATGTAACATTTACCACTGGCAACATCAGGTTTGCATGTAACATTTACCACTGGCAACATCAGGTTTGCATGTAACATTTACCACTGTCAACACCAGGTTTGCATGTAACATTTACCACTGGCAACATCAGGTTTGCATGTATCATTTACCACTGGCAACATCAGGTTTGCATGTAACATTTACCACTGGCAACATCAGGTTTTCATGTAACATTTACCACTGGCAACATCAGGTTTGCATGTAACATTTACCACTGTCAACATCAGGTTTGCATGTAACATTTACCACTGTCAACATCAGGTTTGCATGTAACATTTACCACTGTCAACATCAGGTTTGCATGTATCATTTACCACTGGCAACATCAGGTTTGCATGTAACATTTACCACTGGCAACATCAGGTTTGCATGTATCATTTACCACTGGCAACACCAGGTTTGCATGTAACATTTACCACTGTCAACATCAGGTTTGCATATAATATTTACCACTGTCAACATCAGGTTTGCATGTATCATTTACCACTGGCAACATCAGGTTTGCATGTAACATTTACCACTGTCAACATCAGGTTTGCATGTAACATTTACCACTGGCAACACCAGGTTTGCATGTAACATTTACCACCGGCAACACCAGGTTTGCATGTATCATTTACCACTGTCAACATCAGGTTTGCATGTATCATTTACCACTGTCAACATCAGGTTTGCATGTAACATTTACCACCAACAACTGTTACGTCAACGTAGACTGCATCAGGTAACGATGTAGTTTTGCTGCTGCTTCTCCGGCGGCTGTTGAATCTACATCCCTTCAAGGCCATTGCTGTCTTCGTGGCCGAAGATACTGTTATAGTGTTATACGTTCGAATCCCAGATTCGATCAGATTTCTTTCCTCAGGAACCCACACTAACACATCATGTCAACAGCACCCAAAGCAAACACTTAAGAAGGCTTCTGTGCCAAGAAATACAGGTTTGTTTGGAAGGCATTCAGTCAATTCATTGCAAGTTTTAGTCCATTTTAATGTATACTCCTATACTATATTATCACACCAGAAACATAAAAGTGCAGTCTCTTTACACAACTAAGAACTGTTCGTTTCTTTCTAACTAACATTGTGTGTCATATATCTCATTTGTGGTTTTGTATTCACCAAAAAAACTCCTGACCGAAATAAACGGCCAAGATACTATTTCAGTAAATTTATTGAAGTACTATCCATGTAATTGTCATTGTATCTCGCATCAGTAACAACTCCACCCAACACAGCTTACTCCAATTTGACACAGAACTGCGCTGAGCTATTGCAGCTGTGCTTCACTTTACGCCAGACTCGGTCTCACCTTTGTGTCTGTTATATCGTGATATAACTGTAGCTATAACTATTACACCTATCTTACTAACATATTCTAATGGTTAAAATGTTCGCTCATCACGCTGAACACCCTGGTTCGAATCCCAACTATCGATGTGGAATATGATAAGGCTGACAGTTTGTGGCGTAAAACACAGCTCACTCACGGTCTATATTCATACACACATTATACGTCAGTGAAAACCCCGTGATCAGTGACACAGCTACTACTATACTATCACACAGTCAGTGTCATGTTACGTATTCACAGTGTATACCGTAGTATAATTATTGGCATGACATATATCGGTTGAAATACGTTTGAAGTCATCAATGAAACACGTCAGATCCGGATATGGCGAATACAGATAAAGCGTATGACTGGCTAAAACGAAGTCAGTTCAAGTGGCAGTGGTTTCATCTGCAGGTATCGCATTCACAAAGCGATTGCAGTCATACAGTTAGGTTAGTATCCATACATGTACATTACGACATTTACATTAATCTCGGGCGGTGGGGTAGCCTAGTGGTTAAAGCGTTGGTTCGTCACGCCGAAAACCCGGGTTCGAATCCCCACATGGGTACAATGTGTGAAGCCCATTTCTGGTGTCCCCCGCCGTGATGTTGCTGGAATATTGCTAAAAGCGGCTTAAAACCAAACTCAGTCAGTCAGTCAGTACATTGATCTCAACTCCACAATCGTTTTGTGAAATTGGGCCTGGGGACAGGAAGAACGAACAACTCTGGGAACACACAGTCTATGTACAGACCTTAAGGGAACATTGCCGAAACGTATCCAACTCAAGACTGGGATGATTGTACAGCTTCAAATTGCCTCAACTAAAGCGTTAAGCATTATTCTCAACTTCATTCGGAATGTATTTTCACACTTTGTATATATACGTGTGTTCTAGTATAAGATATCATTATTCCATGTGCTAAATGTGAGTCGAAGGGTCTCAGTGCCTTCCACGACAAGTGTCCAATGTTGTCATTCTTAAACTCTGTTACAGATCAGCAGTGGAAATTCCTGAAGAAGATGAACCTTTGGAATTCTGGGATATTTTAGGCGGGAAAGAAGCTTACGCGACTGGGAAGAGATTGCAGGTACAAATATACAACATGGAATGTGTCAAGCATAATAATATTGTCATATATTAACCGAATAAGTTTCCGTCGCCCATGACCGTGTTCTTTAGAACATTCTCAGAACACAGAGGCAACTTGTTCAACAATCCTTACCGTATGTGAAGCTCAGTTTATTATTGTTAATGGATGCCAGAGCAAATTGTTCGTTTTTCTTTTCCAGACATCAGGCAACGACATGCCCCCTCGTCTTTTTCAATGTTCTAACGCTTCAGGCAGGTTCCTTGTGGAGGAAATCGTAAACTTCAGCCAAGAAGTAAGTACGAGGTTGGTTGTAACTGCGCATGCGTCTCCGGAAATTCATCTAACATTCCACGTGACATGTTTATATGCGCGCATGCGTCCACGTGGTTTTGGAGAACAGATGCATAAATATAATGGAATCCTAAGTGTGTTTGTGGGAATAGTGGTATTAGGGATTGCTTATCTTTATGTCGTGTTTAGAAAGCGAAACTCGACATGTTTTGACATGGACAATGAGATGCACGTGTGAGGCTAGGGCTGAGTGCCACGCGAGGCAAATTTGCATTTATATAAACCTATTATGTCATTGTTACACTAACACAGTTTAGTTGTTCTTTGGTCACACGTCATCACCGGAATAGGGAGGTGGGGTAGCCTAGTGGTTACGGTGTTCGCTCGTCACGCCGAAGACCCGGGTTCGATTCCCCACATGGGTACAATGTGTGAAGCCCCCATTTCTGGTGTTCCCCGCCTTGATATTGCTGGAATATTGCTAAAAGCGGCGTAAAACTAAACCCACTCACTCACTCAATCATCACCGGAATACTAGGGATCTAGTTACTGAGAGGTGAAGTGAAGACGGTTTTGAAATGATTTGTTTTTAACAGGTGAAAACATTCCTTGCGACCACTGGCGTTAAAGTGCAGTAGTCTTGCTGAAGGAATGACTTAATATATTCTTCTACGCTGCATCAGCAACATATTTCAAGCAGCAGTGAGTTATCTGAAGAGGCTACACCGCCTTTCCATGTCAGATTTAACACTACTTGTCGCAATATTTCCGTTTGGAGGGCAAAACTAACATGACGCAGGACGTAATGATTATCCACAGACAAACAGGAAGAATAATGGTTAAAGGTTTCCCCCATCACACGATGATGATTTGTAAAATTCTTACGTGACGTCCCCGCCTCCACGTGGCTGGAATATTATATATGATATTACAGAGATACTGGTAAAAGCAGCGTTAAACCATACTCACTCACTCACACACTGAAGATGAAGCATGTTTGTCACAAACCAGAACAACAAAACAAGGATCACAAGAACCAAATTTTATTTACATCCCACTATGTAAATGAATTCTCAATCACAGCGCACACGAACATACACACCACACACACACACATACATATGTACTTAATAACTAATTGATTCCTGGGTTTCTAAACATACTTAAATACCTACTACATAAACTATAATTAATTAAAGTTCATTCACAGTTTAGAACATGTGCTCAATCAGTTAATACTAACTGACCACCTCGGTCATGTTAGTCCATCTGGTTGTTCAACCTCATGGTATCAGTACATTTCACTGACCACAGTCTTAAAAGGTGCGATTAGTATTGATGTTATTTACAACTTCAGATTGCCTTAGCTAAAGGGTTAAGCATTGTTCTCCACTCCTTTCGGAATGTATTTTGCACTTTATATATATATACGTGATGAAGCATGTTTAAGTCTTAAAAGGTGCACTTAGTATTGATGTTATTGAGCGCTGAGTTATCGAAATCATCTTGGTACCATATATTGGCGTATGATTCCTGATAATACGTACTGTAACAAACACCGATATGACACCTCTGTTGATACAGTTTGCTCCATGTATGTGGAGAATGATGTTGTTGATGTGTTCAATCTACAGCTCTAAACAGAGATCAGTACATATCGACATAACAACACACTGTATTGATGTCATAACAGCTGTTCAATAAACACGTGTGTGCCAGATCATTTTATACTTCGATACAACCATGTTATCTTCACTGATAACACACCCCGATATCCGTAGCCACTGATACTGTGTATATTGTCAGTGCACGATTGGTTTGCGTATCGCTAACCTTGGATGGAAATCTTTAGGAGGAGTTTATTGGAACTAAATCACACAAGAACCGGAACAGGAAACACGATACGGACTGGTCATGACGTATCTTCTTACCGCAATATATTCCATATCCTGTCGAGTCGGACCAACCAAAGGGAAATACCTTCTTGGTTATTTGTTTGTTTTGTCCATTTCGGGAACGCTGTGTTTAAGGATACGGTGTTGTCAATTTACTGTGGTTGGCTTGACGGATGCCGCCAAAATTCTACCGCTGAATTTGACCCGAGGTTCCAACAGCCGCTATGTGGTTATTTCGCTACCGCTGTCAAATCTGAGAGTATTTCCTTTTGTTCGCATAGTAAATTAAATGGATTCGGTTACAATGCAGAAGCTGTTCTACCAATAGTTTAACCCCATTCAACTTGTTGATCAGATGGACAGTAATGAATGAGGTACAACATACCACAACCTTGGAGTAGTCCTGCCATACATTAGACATTCCGGAGGCTTCCTTTCTTCAGAGTTTGTTCAGTATAAACTTTGGATATATATCACAAAATTTACTAAGTGTAGTCACGAACGGAAGTCGCCATGTTTTAAACTAGTGTTAGAAACCTGGAGAAAGCTGCTTGTAACTGGCTAATGCCGCCTCCTTTCAGTCACTTAGAATGTAGTGGAAGTTCGCGCAAGGTCGTTGTGGCGTGACCTGTAAGTCTTCCGATTTGAAATGTCTGACTTGGAATTAGATCGACGCGGTAGCAGTCAGTTTGGATCATGTTATTGTGCACTTACAGTGCACTTACAGCGCACTTACGTGTTGGTTACAAACAAAATGACGCAACTCTTCAGAGTTATCTTGGAGTCCATGTGACTTGTGAACTGTATTTACCACGAACTTACAGAACAACAAAAAATATCTGACTTGAGTTCGGTACATGTACCTAAGAACATGTAGTCACGTGTATGAACATGTAAACAAGACTAGTTAGGGTAAGGAGAGTGCACCTAGTTAAAATAGTTGGAAGTTGATCAACAGAAAAAGCAAGATTTGCACTGTAACCGAGGTGAATGTGCACTTTTAAAAGCAAAAATTTATACTGACACAAAAAGTTAATCTTAGATAAATCTACAAATCCTACTACCGACATATGGTACGGGCAAGCCTTAGGATAATACGCTTCCCCTTACACAAAACTGTATCACATGCCCTATAAGATATAACATCACATTTTGCCTAGTAGCGGATAATGCTTTTAATTCCAGAAATCAACGTTTGCAACAGGGATATGTCCAGACGTTGAAATGAAGCCATTCAACACCATTTTGATTCCATCTAGGTATCGATTTAATTTTCGGCTTCCCGACGGCAAACTGTCAAGTTCAAGGATTTACTTGTGTTCCACAACATCAAAGGTCTGATACGATATCAAAGCACACCCCAGTCATAACAAATCTACAGCGACCTAAAATACGACTTATCCTCCTCATCAAACAACACACAAACAGGTAGCTTAAGTGTATCAAAATAAACCCTCGATGTTTACTGCCGTCTTTACCAGCTCCTAAGCAAGGTGCGCGTAGATTTAACGCTCAGATAGTATTGAGAGGTTTCGCAGCGCAAGTTAGACATGACATCGGTTTGTATTTTTTCGTGGCAAGAAGTGAAATCTCCTGCCTGATTAAAGCGTTCTCGAAGTATATTTCCAGTCCTTATCGGTATAATCCCGTTATATGATGCGGGGATATCATGTCTTCTCCTCCGCCTGTCGCTCGTGTACTCATTGCCCATATGGACAGCGCTATGTTGGCTGAGAGTTATTGGTACGAAAGTGATGAATTTTACAGATTTCTTTTAAGGTCGACATGTTGTGAATGTAAATGATGATGGCAGCGCTGAATGATGGATTAACCAGTCATGCCGTTTATAAAAACTAACTAAAATTATGTTTTTAACTGTGTAACAGTTAAAGATAACTTAAAACACGCGGATGAGGAGCAGAAACGTGAGTATTTCTGGTTATCAGACCATCTTTATCTATGGGAGTTTTAATTGTGTAGATAAACCTGCTAACTATAAGTCGTATATACTTAAGAATGTAATTACCATCCTGATAAAATTACGACCTTGGTTAGAATTAGTTTCCTGGAAAGCACGCAGGACTTAAGGAGCGTCATAATCACTTGGTTGCTAGCCTGGCACTCATTTGTATACATGCCGCTGTCATATAGTTGTAATACTGTTGATTGTGGCATTAAATAACAAACACCTTACAGACACATATAAATATAAACACAGGGAGACAGACAAAACAACGCACACAGACACGCACACACGCGCACACATTCCCCAAATCGACCAAGTTTCTGAGGGAGACACACAGCCGTAAATACATGTACACACGGAGAGACACTAAGACACACACACATGCACGCTGAGAGAGAAACAACACACACTCTCACACAGCCGCAGATACATATACATATAGAGACACAAAGACAAACACAAAACACACACGCACACACGCTGAAAGAATAACCACCACCACAACCACCCCTGACACACAGCCACAGATACAATAAGTCACAAAGACAAACACAAAACACACACGCACACACGCTGAAAGAATATACATACAGAGAGATACATATACACAAGAAACACACAAAACACACACGCACACACGCTGATACACACACACTCACACAGCCGCAGATGCAGACAAACACAAAACACACACACATCACGCTGAGAGACAAACACCACACACACTCACTCACAGACACAGATAAATATACATATAGAGACACAAAGACAAAGACAAAACACACACACATACACGCTGAGAGACAAAAACATACACACTCTCACACAGCCGCAGATACATATACACAGAGAGACACAATTACAAACACAAAACACACACATGCACAAAAACACACACAGACCGCAGATACATATAAATATAGACACACAAAGACAAACACATACACACTGAGAGACAAGCAACACACACACACTCCTCACACAGCAGATACATATAAATATCGACACACAAAGACAAGCAACACACACATTCTCACACAGTCGCAGATACGTATACATACAGAGACACAAAGACAAACACACAGAGACACTGACAGACAAAACGCACACATCATCACACAAACACAAAACACACACTCACACAGACGCAGATACATATACATGTACATATTGAGACACAAAGACAAACACAAAACACACACACTGACAGACAAAACGCACACACTCACACAGACGCAGATACATATACATGTACATATTTAGACACAAAGACAAACACAAAAAACACACGCATACACACTGAGAGAATAAATGTACATATTTAGACACAAAGACAAACCGCATACATACTGAGAGAATAAATCCACACACCCACACAGATACATATGCATACAGAGACACAAAGGCAAACACACAAAACGCACATGAACCTTCCAGATGCATATAGATATACACACACGGAGACAGACAAAACAAAACACACACACACACGTCCCTCAATTCGACCAAGTTTCAGAAACTGACCATAAAGACGGTCAACCGAGTGTTGGCCCTCTCATTAACTCGTGTGATTATCAATCGCACGTTCTAATTCTCCACCTCCGTGCGGCTGGTTATGAGGGCAGTTATGGTCATTATCTTGGGGGTCTTCCTAGCAAGACTTGGACCCTGGAAGCATTCAGACGACGCACACAGAACGTGAGCGGACATTTTATGGCTAATCATGGTGCTAGAGCCATCAGGCATGGACGGGAGCAAGCTAAATGGGTGTTCCACCGTTTAGAGAACTGGTCCAGGGATTTCATAGCGTGGGGTTTTACTGTCAAGATACCCTGCCGTTTCGCTCCGTTTATTAATCTTTTTGTTGATGTTTGCAGAGTTTTATGTTTTCAAGATACGTTAACTGATTTCTGTAAAACATATATTTTTAACGAACTTGAGGGTGTTTACTTTAATGATGCTCATTATCTTCAGAGTCTTCGTAGCAAGACCTGACATATTTATCATGGAGGTGAGGTCATGTTCATAACATGATAATCTATGTATATAGCACCAAGTTATACGTGGAGGTGAGGTTTCCGAACATGTTCATAACATCTATAGCACCAAGTTCCAGCTTGTACTTCGCGATTTACATTATTTTAAATCCATGGTAACGGTAGTGAGGGTTCCACTGTGGCCTCTAAGAGTATTTCCACCTTCGGCTCGACGATATCTACATGTTCTAGTCTTATGGGAATAGGCGTGTTTCTTGTTCTCAGCGAAAGGCCTGAAGAGTTGGTGCCTGTGTTGCTGAAATAGGTAATTTTGTTCCAGACTACGGGTGCTGCCGTGATAGGAGCGGTCATCAAGTGCTGTGCCATCTCATCAGATGTTTACCAATAGTCATCTTTGTTTAGGGATTATTTTCTCATAAACATGTAGTACAACAGGGTTTGTACAAATACTTGTCACAACAGAAAAGAGTACCCATTTTTTTACAAATGATGTTCTTCATTATCTATTTTTGAATGATATCTGTAAAAGATTCGTCTAAACAAATTAGGAAACATTTGACTCATGTGAGAGCTATCACGTTCCATTGGGAGTATTAGGTAGAATGTTTGTACTAATTGTTTTAAAGAGTAATCGTGTGTTTTACGATATCAACAAAATCCATTTCTTAATCAATGTTTACCAATGCAGATTTGTTGAAATATCTGCTGAAGACACAGTTGATTATACGACTCCTCCGACCACATTACGAGTTTGTGTTTGTGAACCAAAGAACATTCGTTATGTTAGAACCCTCGCCAAGTAGCTAAATAAAATAATTATAACTGCAATATGCTGCAGTTTATTCTCTAAAACAACATCAATCTTTTTAAGAAGTTAATCAATCTTAATTAAGACACCGTGTCAACCGTATGTGTAGATTACGTCATTTTGTCGACATCATCAGAGTCTCCTGGACCTTCGTTATGACCTCCAGGTCAGCTCCATAACAGATAATATTATGACACTAATTGTCGCTATAATATTGAATTCAGTACAGTACGCATTGAGGAGAAAAACAACTTTAGAGGCATCTATACTGTGATATGACGGAACAAAACTTCTGTATGATGCATGGTTAGTGAACACCTGGTGTCGGAGCTGTTCAATTGCGATTCATAAGCACTTGTTTATGACATTGTCGTAATCTTGCAATGGATTTTTTAGAGATGTTTTATGAGTATGGAAAATTTAATGGTTTTGTTTCTTTTTGGACCTATGTCTATTGGAAATATTTTATGTAGAAGGCGTGCTTTATTCTCTGCGCATGCGTAGGTGCGTGCGAGCGTAGCGTAGGTGAATGAGCGAGTGGGTTAGGGATGGGTGACATTGAGTGTGTGAATCACACGATCCACACTTTTGACAGAAATAATTATCAGGGTTTCCGATGATTAATCGAGAACAATACAGTCTTACCAGTCGACGGCGTAAGTTGCGGACAATTTAACAGGTGAGGTCGTCCGTGTCAGTCACTCATCCAAGTTGTATTCATTTAAAGCCTCCATTCTGGTCAAATTCTCACTTTCATCAGACATGGGGACATGTATGTACTTATTGTATAAGGAAACCAGACGGTATAGACTTGTCTAATATAATGATTCGCGATCGTCTAATGGCATATGTGAATTCATCCTGATCATCAACTTTCGTTTAAAGATTATATCGTGTATAAGGAGCTAACCAGATGACTTCTTTTTCATGGCTTTCTAAGGATCTGGTCGAAGATGACGTCATGCTTCTGGATACGTTCGACGAGGTACAGGAAGTTTAAATTCGTGTTTTTTTTAAAGAGAGAAGAGTTCAATGAGGACCATTTTGAAATCAAAGAGTTCGTGCAGAGTCACAACAAAAATGATGAAATTCGCTTTTGAACATACAGTAAATGCATCGTTTTTGAACTTGAAAAATAACTCAAATCAAACTTCACCTTCTTGCGATCAAATGATGCTACTTCCCTGAAACAACCCAAATGATTACCTGACTTGAGGCAAAACTAATGACTTGCGTCACAACACGCTACTGTAACAATATTTTCCTAAAACTTAACTTTTTTATCATCCAGATATTTGTTTGGATTGGCAAAGGAGCAAACGAGGTGGAACGGAAGGAGAGCCTCGCAACTGCTATGGTAGGTGTTCTAATAACACAAACAGATGGCTGGCACTGAGAAGGGATCACGCGTAATGGCAGGCTTGTTGGGGAACACGGGAACACAATGGTTCAAATAACAGTGTGCTGATGTTGTCTCTGTAACAGAATACCCATCAGTCAATTCATACTATAAGTACGATATCATAGTGGACAGAGCATCCAGAGATATTCTCGCTGAATAACATCTAAATTTTGTGAGAGCAAATACCTGCCATTGCAGTAATAAACATGTCCTTCCGACATTCGGGTGTAGCCACTATGTGGCTGACACTGTGTTGTAGCCAACATTCGAGCCTGACACTCTGGAGTAGACAACATCAGAGGTTGACCTTCTGTAATAACCAACATCAGAGTTTGACCTTCTGTAATAACCAGCATCAGAATTTGATCTCCTGTTGTAGTCAATATCAGAGTTTATAACCAACATCAGAGGTTGACCTTCTGTAATAACCAGCATCAGAATTTGATCTCCTGTTGTAGTCAATATCAGAGTTTATAACCAACATCAGAGGTTGACCTGTAATAACCAGCATCAGAATTTGATCTCCTGTTGTAGTCAATATCAGAGTTTATAACAGCATCAGAGGTTGACCTTCTGTAGAAGCCAACATCAGAGTTTGTCCTTCTGTAGTAATCAACAGCAGAGATATCCTTTCTGAGCCAACACCTGTATTCTTAAATTCTAGCTAAACCGACCTTTGAGGCCTATAGTCTGTCTTACCGAAAATACGGTTCGTTCCCGGCTAAATGCCAAATGCCATATGTCTTCTTATGATAATGTGGTCCGCATTTGATCCGCCGTCTACGACGTCGTAAAATGCGTAGTTTTCAACATTGGCAACCTGGTGGAGACGATGTAGTGGCACAACATTATTATCAGAAAGTTGTATTTCTGAAGATTCAAATATTCCATCCATATAATTGTTGTTTTAATTTCCTTCTGTATATGTAAACATTGTTGTTCCCCAGGAGTACATACGTACGGATCCAGCAGGGCGGACCCCGGACAATACCCTCATCATGCAAATCAAACAGGGATTCGAACCTCTGCATTTCACCGGCCATTTCCATGCGTGGGATCCCGACAAGTGGAGTGTAGGTATTACAGGGTTTAGGCATATGCTGTCAGTACTAACTGGACAGACACTGGACATACACTGGCCAGCAACGTTGTTGACGACATTATGTACTGCGCTTATGAGGAAATGGCCCATGTGGTTCCACCCTGCTTTAGGCAGTTAGTCACATGACAGAATATCCTAATAACCTATTTGCATAAATAAAAAAACAAATATGGTGATTGTTTCTGTTATTTTCATGTAAGTATTCCATATTATTTCCACTAAGAATTATTATTGTGTAGCCTAGTTATTAAACATTTGTTCTTCAACCAAAGGCCTAGGTTCGGTTGCAATACAGATACAATGTGTTAATCCAGTTTGTTGGTAATGTGTTGATAAAAAGATATACTCACTCGTATGTTGCACGGGGTGCGTGTCGTCTAATGGGGCACCATTTACTGTAAAGAGTCAGTTCATGCATTAATGAGGTTGGAATCCCAGAGTTTTCTGATATTGTTCCTAGATTTGTCACCCATACCCGTGCTCGCATGTTTTACCAAAGGGATAAACGTCTAAGGCTAAATACTGTGATGACACGCCGTGATACTTCATTCTATCTGATGTTAAACATTTCATCAACATGTATTATACATTCCAGTACGGCAAATCCTACGAGGACATGAAGAGAGAGCTAGGAAAGGAAAACGTGGCCGCAACCAGAGTGCAAGAGGTGAAGACTTTATTTGTTTGTTTGTTTGTTGGTTGGTTGGTTGGTTTGTTTGTTGGTTGGTTGGTTTCACGTCGCAGTTATTGCAGCGATATGACAGGGTTATATAAATAACCTAGTCTTGACCAAACAATCCAATGAGTGACAACATGAGCCTCGATCGTTGCAATTATGATAGGATGACACGAATTGACAATGTCAGCGAACCTGACCACTCCGATCCCGTTAGTCGCCTCTTACGTCTAGAATGGGTTGTTCAAGATCAATTCTAACCCCTGCGCATACCCTTATTCTGAAAAAAACACTTGAATTTCTTGGACTGTGCAGATAATGGTCAAATACCTAGCAAATTAAATGCATTGTCTGTTGGCATTTTATAATTACGTTCCTTGTATGCATTGGATGCATATGTGTTATTTAGGTGAATAGTCAATTTTCAGAGTATTATGAACTGCGTCAGTGTATGTTCTATAGTGTATGTGTTTCTATAATATTATGCGTGGGGTCACATCTGCGTAAACCCGATGTCAAGTCATCTCACCATTGTCTCTGATGTATTTTTTTGTGAATGCCTGGTGCTGGTTCCTTGCTTCCAAGTTTCTTGATAACAAGTCGTGTTTAGTGAATTGGGTTTATGTTAAATTGTTTGTATCTATAATGTAGTATGTTTTCAAACTACCCAATATATATATAAGACATTATATATATATTGTGTAATATATATCTTGACCGATATATTGTCAGAAAGTAGCATATGGTATCATTCATTCAATTCAAATCGTTACAATCAACGTTTTTGAATCGCGCTGATACGTTTCTATCGGTGCATAGGGTCTTTGAATGATATTTACAACCTTAAAACACGTGTACTCTGCTCAATGCTAATTGAGTGCAATACTATTCTTCACAGACGCCATATTTATTACGTCACTGCTTTCTGTGTAATTAAGTCAGTGGTAGGCGTGTACTGATGACTCATCGTTTAGAGACGTTCCTCCACATCCAATGAGTACAATTCGAACTGAGGTTTGAACTTCATACCGACACAAAGACAACCGCTTCCTTGGTAACAGTCTTCATATTCATCAATGATGCAAAGTATCCCTATTAATCGCCAGTCGAAGAAGCCAAATGCTGTTGACATTTCTTTTCCTCGTGATATAATTAACAACGCAGGCCCTCTTCCCAATCCTAATTCAAAGCGTCTCACTTACGCCTGGCCTATTCACCGCAGCTTACTAATTGCCAGAGACTGAAAACACGTGAAACTTGAAGATGATCCCCTCTATGCTGCAGGCGGATAATTAAGACAGAAGGAAAACCTCTTTGGTCAAATTGTTAAGCGTAGCGGTGATGGTTCGTCAGGGCGCAGTGATGGAAATCACACCGTTGTTTGTTATTCCTTGGTAGTCAAATTAGCAGTATACTAAGTGACTTTGAGATTAAGATTTGGTCTTGAGAAGGATGAATAGATTTGATCTAACAAACGAGAACGATCAAGAAACTTACGAAACAGCCCTGCAGTTAGACTAACGGTTAGTCTCTGAATATATATAATTTTGACAGTAACAAATAAACCCATTTAAATTGAAAAGGAGCCACGGCGTAATTCAGACCTGAGGAAATCTAGACTTCATTTAGGGTTTTAGCTTTGCAGGGAGGGTTAGGCAGTAGGGACACAATATGGTTCAGGATTGTGAGACAAACCATCCTGCAGTTTCTGGTGGAGAATAGGGTACATTGTTACGGCCGTTCCTATGATAAAGATGCCATTCTATCTCTGCCAAATATGTTTTCATATCTGAAGTTAATCCTATAAGTACATACGTCAGTGGGGAGATTGTGTTGGCTGGGTTCTCATACGATGGATTGAATATTCTCATTGTCTGAAGATGTTGTTCACGACGGAGTATCAAAACACTGGGACATTGTCGTTGTCGGGAGTAGTATCAGTTCGGGTTAGAGTTGTTCCGAATTTATGGCATAGATAGAACTGCTACGTAAAGCGTAGATAACGATGACAGCATAGATTTACGTGGCCTCGGACAGAAAGACGAGGTCCCCTAGGATCTAATCCTCACAGTATGAACAGAGAAAGGAGGGTTACGTGAAGGCTAGCCCTTAGTCCCTGCATGTATATACTGTTGATAGTAACAACAAACAAACCCATTTACATTGGAAAGGAGCCCCAGTGAGTTGGGAGATTCAGAACCTGAGGAAATCTAGACTTGCTTCATTTAGGGCTTCAGCATTGCAGGGAACAATAGGCAGTAGGCAAAATTTATAATCTGGTTCAGGGACTGGGTTTCGTGGTCAGACAGTTCTCTCGAGCGTCATCCGGAATGGGTCGGTGTTTAATACTGTTTATGTTTTCAGTTCTTTTCTTGGTCTTGGATCGATTTTTGAAATGATATCGTAAGCTGGGATGTTTGTAAACTGTGGCATCTGACATCATTACCTCATCAGCAGCTTACACTTCTGGAATGGGAATAGTTACTATAGTTACTAACCCCCCAATGGTTTGCAAGCACCCATAATGTCTGTTTGATTATTTGTATTGCGCCCCCACTAATCCAGACTATCATGTAGAGACAGAGAAACCAGTTGTTGGTGTATGTCATCGGATCAGATTATGTCTATCAACCGCGTCATATGCAAGCTCATTTGTAAACTTTAAATGTTAAAAGGGAAAGTTTTGACAACATAATGCATGTTTACAGGAACTGGCGTGTTATGACCAAACCTACACCTACGAAGAACTGACCAAACGCTTGCCTCCGAGAGGAGTGGACTTAACCAACAAGGAGGTAGGCACAAATACATGTAGCATAAAGTATTTATATATTACCGATGGACACATAAATGATCATGAAAAGGCTGTGGATTTAAAGGAAATCCGGCAAGGATGATTACAGGAGGGGTACTATCTATGATCGAACTCACGATCGAACTAACGATCGAACTATCACCGAAATACAATGATGGCGAATCGCGTTATGGTATCAATGAATACTTTGGTCTCGCAGTATTTGGTTTCTCAGTGCTTTGCGCAGTATTGAAAAAAGTTAACTGCCACCCGGATGTATGGTACATGAGTGGTTATTACTGACACCCGGTGTCATCACTGATCATCAGTCAGGATCGGGTTGTCAGGATCGCTGACTAGGTTGACACATGTCATCGTATCCCAATTGCGTAGATCGATGCTCATGCTGTTGATCCCTGGATTGTCTGGTCCAGACTCGATTATTTACAGACCGCAGCCATATAGCTGGAATACTGCTGAGAGCGGCGTAAAACTAAACTCACTCACTCACTGATCATCAGTAGTCAGTCCAGTGCGATGATGGTGGGTGACCCAAAAACAGTTACTATCACGGATATAACCATCATTTTAAAACAATTTACAAAGTTTCCAATGCTATTTTCCACCTTGGGGTATTTGTTTTTGAGGATAGTCAAGGTGGATGTTCTTTTGCTTTGCAGTCTATGTTAGATTGTATACTCTAGGTAAGAATGCTACATAATATTAGTAATTACACCAAAAAATGTACAAAACATCGTACTTGTTTTTTATGAAATACACAATGCCATTTAGAAGGTGGTCAAATGTAACATTTGGGATTACACTTTCTTAGTAAAGTACAAATTCTAGTACTTTTTGAGTTGAGCCCCATCCGGTATTCGAACTCACACCCTCAGAGTCAGGCACCTAATCGCCAGCACACAAAGTCAGCCGCCTAACCCGCTCAGCTACCGCGACTTCCACAAATATGGAAGTCGGACAACTGGTAGTCTAGACTGCGGACTTTGTGTACCCCTCTGATGAGTGTTAATTGGCACGGCTCCCACGGCCGAAAGCTATGAAATACACAATGCCATTTAGAAAGTCGTCAAATGTAACATATGTTATATTTGGGACTACACTTTCTCAGTTAAGTACAAATTCTAGTACTTTTTTTGTGTGCTGGCGATCAGGTGCCTGACTCTGAGGGTGTGAGTTCGAATCCCGGATAGGGCTCAACCCAAAAAGTACTAGAATTTGTACTTTACTAAGAAAGTGTAATCCCAAATATAACATATGTTATACTTGTTTTTAGATAAGTGAAAATGGTGCAGAGCACAAATAGGGAAAACAATGCCGAGAGTATGACTCTCCAGCGTCGTCGGAATATTACATGATCAAGTCAAGCAGATACTCAGTGCAAAGTCCCCGACCCTATTAATACTAGGTTACTGGTCACTCGTTATGCCACAGAATCCATTAGGAACACCTGGTGTCATCAATGAGATTATGGAATATGTTGCATAATCGTCACTGAATATTCTCTTGTATACACATCTATTTAATACTTCAATAATGGGTTAGAATCTTGTTTAAAAGCTATAAAAACAACGTATTTCCAATGATAATTCACATTTACAAATACGCTTGAAATATACCAGTAGGTGCTATGATTGACAAGTCTGGGTTATAACTATTATCAAGTCTTGGTTGTCTGTGAATATCATCTGTCACCGCTTAACTTAGCGTTATTGACATGAATGAAATGCTGTCTGTTTCACTGCAATATACACGAGCCAGCTTGGCGTTGATGAATTAAATCCTGTATTTATAGTTAGGTTGAAGAGATCGGGGAACTGTCGCCATAAATCCTGTCATCATTTCAGTTGAAACATGAATATGTCGTAGCTGTTCATCTATATATGTGATTTACGACGGCGTCACTTAGATTTAATGTTATAGTTAGGGTTCGACATTGAGGATAAATCAACTGATGTCTGTATACAATGATCTACATTTCAGAGAGAACACATACTAATTCACTACATCCAGCAAAACGATAAGGAACTGGACATCATTTACATGACGCACACTTACCCTCCGTCCTCTTAATGTGGCACTGATCAATTTACAAAATATGAAATCAATATGTGAATTTGTCTGGTTGTAGATAGCCATGGTCAACTTCCATGACCGGCTACGTTGGTCAGTATACTAAGTAGGTCAAATGTCACATTGGGCCACGTTCCTGTGGATAGCAAAATATTGATGACGTTGACCGGAATTCAATTTGTAGCCTCCCCTCTTTCAACACATGTCAACACAAGCCATCCTGAAAGTCAGCCAAATTTATCAATATCACAGAGGTCAAGGGTCAAATGATGGTGACTCAAACTGACCAATAGGGAGCGAGTTTCAGATGAAACCTTTTCTAAATTATTGATATGCTATGTTAGCACACGGAGCGTTTTAATGCCAATCAATCAAGTATGCTTATATACTAGCGAAAGGTCAAAGACAAGGCTAGAGGAGACTTGACACCACTAAATCAGAACGAGCCAATGTTGGTCCTGGGCAAACGATGGCGATTTGCGATAATGACCACATTTAAATCTGTCGATGCCCACAAGGCAGCTAAATATTATCATGAACAAATCATTGTTAAATATAAGACGGAAATGGATTTTTGTTTCAGTATCGTTAAAGTCGTCTTCTTATCAATTACAAATCTAAATATATCACAGTGTCGATACTAATTTGTCTGAAAGCTTGTATTGTACACGCGTCGGTCTGTAACAAATAGATCACAATGGTGTACATTAGTAAGCGTGTCAGTAATGAATTGATCGTGTAAACGGCGACCGGGACGTCTTCCCGACGGCTGCAGCAGCACGTACCATGGAGACAAGTATGGATATGACTCACTGTGAAACACTCACGCTGGGAGTCTACAGTCTGAAGATAGGGTGACATTTACTGACACTCAACCCCGTCTTATCCAGCAGAGCCAACACTAGGAGCTGACCACAGTCTCGGGTTGTCATGTTCATTGATGCCAAAGGATAAGGTATGATCTTGACCCCTTTAGGCCCTGGAGCAGTGCTGACGTTAACGAATGGGAAAACCTTTAGAAATCACTACTAGTATCAGTAGTCTTCACTGGTGGGTTTAGATTCTGTCCGTTTAAACTATTGCTTTTGTTTGAGACTCAGCAAATTTAAATATATTTAAGTAAATCTTAAATGTGGCAAAACGTGTTTTTCTATTTGTGTAACATGACCTTTTTTGGCTGGACAAACAAAAGGTGTATACATGGGAATAGGCAAGTTTTATTACCAATCTTTCAAATTTGGTGTCAATACTTTGAAATGGCTGTACATGGATGTACGATTATCTTAATTTTTAACACCAAATTCAAAGTTAGTGATAAATGTTAGTTTGTCTTGATTAAATTACTTTATTTTACTGTGGCGTGAACCTTTCTTTTTACAAAGAGGATATGATGTCACTTTCTCTACCTTCACGTACCACGTAACCAGCAAACTGGCCAAAGCGGCGTTACTCACGATTTGACGTTTTAGATTGCCCATTAATATTCGTTTATGAAAAGACATGGTGATGCCTCGAATTTTTGAGAGATTACAAGAGAACACCTTTTGTGTGTAATTGTATATCTTTACATTTTAATACACAATTGGCCGCGTTCTGTTTAAAACAAGACATGACTCATCAATACCTTTAAGGTTTTGTTATATTTAATTTTTTGCTTTACATGAAATAAGTAGGTTTGTTTATATAAAGGCATATGGTCATTATACAGAGAAATAATTTTCCAAACCATGCATTTATACTTTTATATAACAATAGGTGAGCCAATTTGGTTGAAAAAAACCATTTACTTTTTCAAGTTCATTTGTGATATGACTCGGGATATATTGTTTTCCTAAATCCACATCATGAAATGTGGAATTCGTCTTTAACTAAACGTAATCATGATACTCGAGATGTAGAAAAGTAAAGAATTGTCTCACACTCTACTGATAGTGTAAAAGAACAAACCTATACATTTTAATGAAAGGTGGGTATCTGGTAGGTCTCATCGGTAGAACGTGATTATCATCCCCACGGACACCCAGTGTCATCACTGATTTTCAGTAATCTGTTCGCATAATATTCGCCGTTGTTTTGCCGTTTAATGGTATCTGCTTCGTAAGAGCATCGTTTACATTGTTTATAGCCGGTGATAAACAGTATATTTAAGACAAAAAAGGTTTGTAGAAATTGTTATATATCCTCATTACGAACTTTATTTTACGAGGTAGATATTTACGACTGAAATTTGCTTAGTGAACATACATTAATTCCCCTGTCTACTGCAGATGTCCATTTGAATACATAATAGGATGACCAAGGTCGCTTGACCAGTCCTTAATGAATTTATCCTCCTTCTTCCATTACGCTCTGATTCTCTCAGACGTTCTAATTCCAGTTCCAGACGTAGTAATTCTCAATTCCTAACTCCCAACACGTTTTATGAAATTTTGCCGTCATAAATTTAGTCGATTTCAGAGCGGCCTGGTACGATTTCAGCCCTGTAATTCAATGACACGGCCAGCAGACAGGTCCGGGGAGAAGACCCATTGTCAGTAGCTGTCAATCAGTCATCATTAACATGCCAATCACTCATCGTTAGTAGAAGCATCCCAGTGCTTGTCGGTATCCATCGATCCCTATGACTTGTCATTTCAGTGTTAAATACACGGCCAGTACTCACACAATTAGGCATGAAAGCCCCCAATTACCTCTGATCCACATTCATTTACTTCCAGTCACAGATTTCATTAAAAGCCTCTTTTTCATATCTTCCTCCGACACATGGCGGAGTTGAAGAACAAATCGAAATATATTGATTCTCGTTAGTGGCTTTCCCTTACTTAATTAATACCAAGCTTGTTAGTGCCCCCTCAAGTTCTGTAATAACGCGTTGCATGATGTTGATATATGTTCAGAAGTAGTGATGGT